TGTGTGTGTGTGTGTGTGTGTGTATAGGCTATATTATCATAAGTGCAGACATTCGGAGGTGCGATCCGCGTTGTATAATATACGTATATAACCAATGTTCAAACATATCAACGTGGACGCCGCCGCCTTGGGGAGATATGCCAAAAATGTTTGATATTTTTGCCTCATAATTATCGACAAAACGTCAATAACCCATCGGAGCTTTAATTCATAAGTGACATTACGCGCAGCTGCTGTTGCTGCTCGACCCTGTTCCTGCTCCTGCTATTACCGCCGCTGTTCTCGATAATTATTGTTTATAAATATAACTCGAGTAAAACGAGTCGGAAAGCTCTCGTTTGTATACACTCAAGCTGGATGGAAAGAGGGCCACTAAAAAAAATTCATGTATATTTATTCGTGGTGGCATCGAGCGCATTATGCAATTTTTATGCGAGCGTTCTGAATACCCGCGGTCTTTTACCTTTTTTTTCCTCTCTTCTTCTTCTTCTTCTTCTTCTACTACTTCTTCTTCTTGCTTTTTCTCCTTATCATCTTACAAACCGCACGAAAGCAGTGATGTATCCCGGCGTAGACAAACATTTCTCGAAAGTAACTATTGGAAAAATAGCTTGACTCGGTGGAAAAGATCTTCTCCCAACTCTCTTTCTCTCTCTTTCTACCGTACCGCGTTGATCGACCTTATTCCGAACAGATCGAGCATAAAATTTCTCTCTTTACTGGCTTACACAATTTCGACTACTACTGCTGCACAGTGGACGGTGCTTGGCATAGTTGAAAAAAAAAAGAAAACGAGAAATATAGAAAACTTTATGTATAACGAAGAGAGAGAGAGAGAGGAAGATATGAAGCTTCGGAATATCAACTCGAGAGTCCAAGAGAGAGTGGGATTGAAGTACGCGCGCGTACATGCAGTATACGCGATGCTTTTCAAAGTAAAGAAAAATAAAGATAAGAGATGAGGCTTTTGCTCTGATTATTCGACTCATCTTCACGCTGTTTGAATAAAGAATTGGAATGATAAGATGGAAAAAAACCGCTGCCAATGTATTGGCAAGTAGCTTCCTCATACTTTTTTTTTAACTTAAAAATAATTTGAAAATATTAATATCATCTTTCTAATTACGAAAGCGAAACGAAAGCGCCTCTCAGCTTTATCGGGTATCTCAAACAAACAATGCAAAAAAAAAAAAATTTTTTTTTTAAATAGAAAAAAAAACGTTACGTTTATCGATAAATGAATTTTTCTGGCTTCGTCCCTATGTCATAACGAAAAAAATAAGCCCTCCCCCGTCACGATACGTGCTACCGTTATCAAGGAATCACTCTACACAGACATACAGCCGCATACACCCACATACATTCCAAAATGTGTCAAAAATTCGATCTAGTATATAGAAATATCATTAAATATATCCTACGATAATTATATACGAAAGCCTAAATGTATCCCATCACAAAACTTCCTATATGAGGGAGCAAAAGGAAGAAAACGACAATTTCCCGCAAAAAAAATTTTTCCCGTAAAAAAAAATTTTTAAAAATCGAAAAAAAAATTTTTTTTCTCCGTTTATCGCTAAATACAATTTTCTGACTTCATCCTTACATCATAACGAACAAAAAAAGCCCTCCCCCGTCACGATACGTGCTACCGTTATCGAGGAATCACTCTACACAGACATAAAAAAATTTCCAAAATTTTTTAAAAATCGAAAAAAAATTTTTTTTTCTTCCTTTATCGCTAAATACAATTTTCTGGCTTCATCCTTACATAATAACGAACAAAATAAGCCAAACCCCGTCACGATACGTGCTACCGTTATCGAGGAATCACTCTACACAGACATACAGCCGCACACACACACACACACACACACACACACACACACACATACATACCAACATGTGTCAGAAATTCGATCTAGTATATAGAAATATCATTAAATATACCCTACGATTACTCTATAAAAAAGCCGAAATGGAGCCCATCACAAAGCTTCCTCTATGAGGAAGCAAAATCATACCGCTATACGTATTCATTGCAAATTAGCAATGGATCAAATTAAAAATGCTCTTGGATATTTAATTTTTTTTAATTTAAAATTTACATGGTGTGTGATTTTACTCTGCGTTCAGATTAATTTTGGAAATGGGTAGTAAACATTTCTAGGTTTTGTTAAACTCATGAAATTCAAACACACCAAAATGTCGTAAGATCATCTTCACCTCGTCTCATGTCCATCAAAGTCTCTCATCAACTCACGGTTCTCTGTACAAATAAAAGCTTTTCTCGACTCGCTTTATCGCGAGATGTGATATTGGATATGCCATCTGAATGAGAGGAAAGGAGAGACGCCTCGCAAAAGGAAATATCTGGAAATTGTTCGGAATTTTCGTTAAATCGTTTGAATGGCACGAAGAATTTCTGATAAAATATATTTCACCCTTTCAAGCTTTATTGGCTCTGTAAACGTCGCGCAGATGCATGAATTTTTTTTTTTTTTTATAAAAAATAAGTAATAAACTTACCGTGGTGTATTATAAATACACACTCGCGTAGACGTTGCTCTGAATAAAGTAATACAATTTTTTTTAATGCTCGAATTTGCACACAGGTCGGCCACAGCCACGAGTCACCTGGTGGCAGGAAAACGCTCTGTTAGACGAAAGCTTCGAGCTAGTCGGCACAAAGCGCGTACGCAACGTGCTGCATCTGAAGAAGCTCGAGCGCAAGCATCTCCACGCAGTGCTCACCTGTCAAGCATCCAACAACAACATGGTCGCGCCCATATCCAGCTCCGTGTCACTCGACATGAATCGTAATACGCATTTATATTTAAAATTTTTTGAGTGCCTTGAGGCAGATGCCTCGACTTTATAAATGTATATGAGTAAATCCACATTTCCGCGTCCTCAAAAATGTTCTCAATGCTTGTGTGCAACGACTATGGGGAATTTTTTTTTTTCAAGTCCTAAAAAGGATTTTTGTTAGATGCAATTTCAACCGAACAGAAAAATCACGTTTTTTAGGCTATGATAGCGAATTGAAGCATAAAGTGTATCGATGTGATGACTAAAAATAGGTCTTACTCTTCGCTTGGCTTTTTCACATTTAAAAAATCAACTGGGTATCCTTTATGACATTTCATTTCAAAATACTGCACATTTAAAAGAATAATTATAAAAATTCATTTTGAATGTAACTATTATCTAGTTCAAACAGTTATTTTTCAATATAATAAATTTATAGCAAATCCATACTCCATTTATATTCCACCTTTATCTAGATAACATCATTATCATTTACGATAGATAAAGGGGAAAAATGTATAAAATCCTTTTTTTTTGTTTTCTATAAAATATAGTGGTGAATTTCGTGTGTTAAAAATATTCAATAAAAGATGAAAGTTGAGAGCTTGAGAAGATGAGTCTTTTACACTCTACACAAGAGGAAAATTTTTATGATATGTGATCGGAGTGCACAGTATTGTCAACACATTGATAGTTTTCCACCAAAGGCGTTGTTGATGCTCCTTAAGACACTCTGTCAAAACACAAACAATATTTGCGTAAATTGAACAACCACAATCTCGGACCACAATCATGTATGCTTTACGGAACTCCACTACTTCATCAAAACAAAAACAAAATACATATGCAGCTTGAACTACTGCTGTTACTGTATATCATAATAAACTCAACTAATTCATCAAAACAAAAGCAATAAATGGATTGATTGAAATACTGTCATTCACTGTATTACATTCTAGCATCATCAAATCATAAGTGAAAAATATTGTGTAGGAAAACTAGTATCTTATGAAATATTCATTGTTCTCTCGAAAAATTTAAAAATTGTTTCAAATACACACGATAATCAGGATGAAAATAGGTTATTTTTCTTACGCTGTGGATATGGTGTATGGATATAACAATTTTTCGATAGAAATAAACTGGTTATGGATGAAACATGGATTTACATAAGATTTATCAAGTCTTTAAAAATAAATTTTCAAACTAGATAATAAACAGTTGATTTTTTAAATTGTGAAATCAAATGAAGAGCAAGAGCATATTTTTGAGGAGTCACATTAAATGCCCTAGTTTACCCTGAGAACGTGATTTGAATATCACTTCTTCGCACACTTGTTCCTAGGACTCGGAAGAACAATTGCTCATGGTCGTTACTCACAACCCTAGAGAAAATTTTTGAACCCGACTTGAAGCCGTAGTTTAAGGATTCAATGTGGACTTTCTCATATAGTATATTTACTGCCTCTCTACTCTTGCTTGCAGCGACAATTTTACAGAGATTTTTAGCTTTTTTTCATGGTTGTATGTAAAAATATAATTTTAAGCTCGTTTCGTGTTTTCGAGAACTTGACTTTGAAATTATAAAGCAGTAAGTGCGCTTCGTTCTTGAAGATTTCAAAATATATTTATACGCGCGCACGCACTCTCGAGGCACTTTTATATAGTTTCAATAATATGTATTTTAAAAAGCGCAGCTTCGTTCACTTCTACTTTATTCATGTGCGTAACGTTGATATTATTTTTTACGAGCAAATTCAAAATGAATTCCCGTAGATCCTTTAAAACAATTACATTTTCAAAATGAAATAACAGCCAATCGCTCGTCGCGTTGGTGTAACAGAAAAATAACGTCAAAACAAAGGGGGAATAACGTCGCTTGCGATTCTTGGCGACCCTCGTGCACATAATCGGCTGAGTCGGCCAAAAAACTCCTAGTCTGTTCCATATACGCTCTCATCTGTGTCTGTGTCATTGCACAAACTTCGTCGCGCTTATTTACAAAAAAAAATATTCTCTTTGCCGTCTTCATCCGGCAGTATGCAAGCCCGTCTGCCGTAGCTGAAAAAAGCAGCTAAAATACCAACAAAATCAGAAAAGATCGAGCGAAAGAGAGATATAAAATAATGGCGATCTGTATAGAAGGAAGCTATATAAAACAGTGCTCGTTTGCTTTCTACCGTTGCAGTGAGACCACTGTGGGCGAGGCTGCAGGGCGAGAATCGGCCATTGAGCGCAGGAATGACTTACGGAATAGGATGCGAAGTTGTCGGTGCCAAGCCAACCCCAACGATCGAATGGACTAAAGCAGGCGTTGCGCTCAAAAATGCTCGGCAAACGGTGAGTATTTTTCTACCCATGTCTCGCTGCTGCGTATACAAGAGAGTAAGAGAGAGACAGAGAGAGAAAGAGCGCCAGCCATTCACGACAGAAACTGATTTTTCCATTCGCCGCGCTCCGTCGTTTTTATTATCCTTGCCAGCCCGTAACGAAATATATATCTATACATATAGAGCTGCTGCAGCGAATATAGAGAACTAAACTCCTATTGATTTCTAAAAGAAAGATCCCCGTTGTATTTTAGGTATATACTTGTGTACCGAGCTTGAAAAATCATATTGACTTCTCTATAGACGGCTCTCGGCTATTGAACAAAAACGAAAAAAAAAAAGATAAAAAAACGTGGTTTGTAATGTACCTCGCGTACAATTCGTTTGTAAGTCTCGGCGAGTCGCGTCGCGAAGAAAATGTGATTTTCATTCTCGAAATATCACCTACACAGCTCGCATCCATACAGACATTCAATTGATAAATCAGTGCAACATATTGCTGACATTTACACGCGCGAAAGAGAAATTTCTATAAATTTTGCGATAGCGATAGTGAAAGTTTAATGCTCAGCGGTAGCAAAAGCAGACGACACTTGCCCATGTCCGGCACAATCGCTTGTTCCGTGGCAAACTTGTCGCCTAATAGGATCCCCCGCGTAGCGGAGATTATGTCGCTCGATTTTCGCCTCTCTCTCTCTCTCTCTCTCTCTCTCTCTCTCTCTCTTTCTCTAGCTTCACTCTGGCCCCCCGAATCGCTAGCATTAATGTCTCCCCTGGCACGAATTTCCGGAGTATCTCGCGAGAGAGGCAGCGTCATACTCCTGAATGCAAAATTTTCCACTCCTGTACGCAGCTGTGACATTCATTGCGGGTCCGACCATACTCGATACTTACTACTTGGCAAAGTGTCTCCTCTCTTTCACGGCTTCATAATCACGAAATAATTTTTTTTTTTGCTCTCTCTCCCTCCTCGCGCAGGTAAGCCCCGACGGCAACACAACGACGAGTACGCTGACTTTTGTGCCGACAATTGAAGATGCCGGTAAAATACTATCCTGCCGTGGCAGCGTACCCGTAATACCAGACTCCGAGTTGGAGGACAGCTGGAAACTTGACATACATCGTAAGTACTTGCTAGAATCGCTAACTATATATGGAAGAGCCTTTCCACCTTTGCGCTGCTCCCTTCTCTCTTCCTGTACCCTATATACATGCAGACTATGTGTATATAGTCGGTCCAACGCACAGCCTCCCCCTATCCGTTGAATTATTTATATTTAAGCTCCGAAGCTTCTCCTCTCTTTCGCGCGCCCGTCCGTCGCGTGCAATGTCATGCAAATTCACAAGGCGGCCACGAACAAAGTCAACCGACAGTCGATGTCTCTGTGTATTATACGAGCACGGTCGCGCGCGTGTGTGAGTTTTCATCGATTGACGAATTTGCTACATCGTCTTTTGCTCGAGGAAACTTTCGTTACGGCGGAATCAATTTTGGATGACGGTACATTTTCATTTTTTTTTCTTCAGACCGGCAGAAAGTAAAATTAGGTACATATATTTCGATGATTTATCTGCCAGTCGTGGCCTTTGAAAGTTCGATCGAGTACTACGCTTTTTCTTCTGGCGCGTATACGTGACCGCATGAAATTTTAATAAATATAATACATTTCGTACGCACGGGTAAAAATTGCCTACTCTGGCTGATACGATTAGTTCATTTATTCGAAGCTATCTTTTAAAACATCTAAACAGTGTATACAGTTCGCACGTATGTATAGGCTGTTTAGAGCCGATTCTACATCAAAACGCAAAGACTTAATCAAGTTGGGTTTCTCACTCCACCGGTGCGCACGGTAGTATTAAACGGTTCAGAAAGTTCGGAAATTTCAGTACATATAGCAGCGCCAGCATGACGTAAACTTGTTTCTCTGTAATATACATATTTAGAGCAATATATCGTGCATAGACTTCTGGCATACACACATATGTGGATGTGTATACATTCACGCGTATAGACCCTCCATATCTCCGCGCGCACTAACGTTCACTCCCGGGCAATTATTGCAGATGCGCCGGTAATCACGTTGGAGCTGGGTAGCAACCTCAATGCTAGCGCAATACGCGAGGGCCTCGACGTTTACTTTGAATGCAATATCAAGTCCAATCCGTGGGTCTACAAGGTCGCTTGGAAGCATAACGTAAGTTTTTTACTGCTATTTTTTTCATGCATGCGTTGTAAATTTTTTTCGCCCTCCAGGGACCAAGGAACAATATTTGATATCACGGTCCAGTGCGTATCGACGAAAAATTTCGCGTTATATCTTTCATTTACCATTGTATACTAAAAAAAAATGAAGTAGAAATGTCGCAAATATATACTCGAATCTCTAACGAACGGTTATTAATATTCATATATATAGACACGATGCAGACCATCGTGTTCTCTGCGACAAATGTACACACAGTCATTAATTCTATATACTCTCTTTTTTTAAAGCCGCGTTGTATTTGCTCGAATCTTTGCCGTCTATACCCTATGGAAAAACAAAAACAACAAAAAAATCTGCTATACCAATTTATAACGCATTTTTTCTGTTCTCTCTCCCAACAACAACAACAACAACAACAACAACAACAACGTAGGGTCAACCGCTGTATCATAACGTGAACACCGGCACGATAGTCAGCAATCAGAGCCTGGTGCTGCAGAACGTATCGCGAAACCGAGCCGGTGTTTACACGTGCGTTGGTAGCAATCAGGAAGGTGACGGCGAGAGCAATCAACTGAATCTCGACATTAAATGTGAGTATTCCATTCTTTTTTCTCTGTTTCTCTCGTTTTTTTTTTCATTGTGCTTTTAACGTCCTTTTTTTGTTTCCGCGTGAATTATTTGAACGTATGCGGCGTTTGTTTCTATTATTGAAAACGCGCGACGCTGAAAGTCCAATTTACGTTTAACGAAAAAACAAATCATCATAGTAATCATCGGGAATAAAATGAGGTATTTTTTAGCAGCTTTTATTCGACTTGCCAAGTACAAGTCCGTGACAAGATACAGCCCTCCACGTATCGTTGTTTCTTTTTCGTATATATGTTACATGGACATATAGTAGATATGAACAGTAGTAGAAGAAGCATTTTTTCAATCCATCTTTTTTCTGGTTGGGAAAACTGTGCGTGAAAAGAAGCAGCAAAGTTTCATCGCACGAAGTACATTATGCGGATGAAAAAGTTGCATTCGCTCGCAAAAGAGAAAGAGAAAGAGAAAGAGAATCAGTAGTTTCGATATGCGGCTTTCATGCACGAGAATATATTTATATATGTATATACACATATCCTTTTTTTCGATCTACCTTCTCTCATCCCTCTTTTTGTTTTGTTTTTTGATATGGCTTTTCTTCTGCGTTCTTATAATATCATATTTATAAATATATATATAGGTATACGCTCGCAGTGTAGTATGATCGAAGCACCAAACTTTTTTCCGGATGCACGAAGGGCAATTGACTATTAGCTTTAATCAAGTCAGAAGTATCATACGTTTGAGTTGATTGAAAATCTTCCAAAATATCTCTTCTTCTTTCTTCTTTCTCTGATGCAGTCTCGCTAACTACTACTACGCGTTTCTTGTTAAAAGTTCATTTTTTGAAAATGATTCCATCACCGAGCTCAATTTATCCTTCATCCAATTAAGTTTGTGAGAGAATTTTTTTTTTAAATTCGAAATTTTAATAGCAGCAAAAGTTAATTTAATTTCCATTAGCGCAAAATCATTTTAAATGCAAAATTTAATTAGCAAGAGTGTTCGATTCGAAGCGGTCTTCTTTCCCTCTCTATTTCTCCTTTTACTGTAGGCCTAGAGCGTTACAAGCGAGCACAGAACTATTCGCAGCATAAATAAAAGCGAATGGCTTATAAACTTGAAATAATAATCTCTCCTTCTCTTTCTCTTCCTTTAGTTTATATTCAAAAGACATTGCAAACTGGCGCGTACAAGTCATGTGTATCTATATATAATGAGTGTACGACGCGAGAGCTGCAACAAAACTTTGCCTCTCTCTCTCTCTATACTTTATACGCTCGCGCGCCTGCGAGAACTGCGAAGCTCTTTTGCGTACACATAATTATTGTACTTTAAATCTAATTTTAAACAATTAACTGTAGTGAATTTCTCGGGTATTGCATTGAAATAGTTTTTGGGTACAGTGTGAGCAAACACGCGAATTATCCCGCGATCCTTGGGCAGAAACGAAAATATAGCTGAATTTACGTGTGCTCTTCGACAGTCGCACCGGTGTGTCGCCTGGGCCAGACCAAGGTATTCGGCGTCGCCCGCGGCGAGACGGTGCACATCACTTGCGAGCTCGAGGCCAATCCGCGCGACGTTATCTTTGCTTGGAGATTCAACAATACTATGGAAGCCATCGACATACCGGCCAAACTGATAGCCAGCGAAGCCAGCCGCTCGACCGTCAGCTACACGCCCGTCACCGATTTGGATTACGGCACTTTGCTCTGCTCCGGAACCAACGAACAGGGCGCACAGACTGATCCTTGCGTCTTCCTCGTTGTGCCCGCTGGTAAATGTTTTCATATACACCCACTTCGAAAGATTCTTAATAAATACTTTGTTAAATTGTGGTTTCGAAAATATCGTCGACCACAGCTTTTAAAGTCATGAATCACATAGAATAATAAACACTAAAATCACCTTATGTAGGTCGTCCGGATACACCACACAACTGCAGCATACAAAACACAACGTCCGAGGCTCTACACGTCGAGTGTATCGAGAGCTTCGACGGAGGATTGTCGCAAAGGTTTACTCTGCTGGTCGAGCAGGAGTCCGCCATTTCGCCCAATCAGTTGCAACAAGCCGCACCGGGAAAATCTTTCACCAATTTGGTGTACAATCTCACGAACAAAGTTCCGGCGTTCAGCATAAGTGGTCTCGATCCGAACTCAACTTATCAATTGACGCTGTACGCAAGCAACGCCAAGGGACGTAGCGAGCCAGTAGTTATGAGAACTACGACACTGACGCAACCGGAACGGCGCACAGGTGAGCGAGCTAAGAGTCTTTTTATTTATTGACACGGGGATCGTATTAACATAATTTTTACACTGCGTAAAAAGAGGATGAGAATCGAACTTAAGTCTAGATCGTGGTCTCGCGAGAGAAAAAGCACAGATATATGATACGCAAGTGACGCAGAAATGTCTGAAAATAAACGTACTTGTTCTACAGTTCCATGAATTTTTTATTACCAAGTATCTGAGCGTTGAGAATGTACGGGCGCGCAAGTAAATTTTTATTAACTCGCTGTATCGATTCGTGAAATATACGGTAACGACGAAAAAAATATGAATATCGAATTTGTTAAAAGTGTACGACATTGAAGCTGTTTTTGATGAATACGTATCATTTTTCGCATTTTTCATTGAACTCTTCATTTTTTATTTAAATGAACACTCTGTATTGCATGAAAAAATATTTAATAATGTTTTTTTAGCTCCGGGCTTGGTATTTGATACGAGATTTTTTCATACAAATAGATGAATTTGTAACATAAACTTATTCATTTTTTGTTACAAAATTTTACGGGTATAAAGCTGTTTAAATTTTACCAAACGGATAAAATAAGTAAAAAAAATATCTTAATCGGCTTTTCCGTTTTACCTGGTGCAATGTTTACTCAGCCTCGAATTCAGCTACAAACAAAATAAAATTCTTCAAAAGTCGCGTACACACGCGGCTGAGCAGGGTAAAAAAATTTCCAGGTAATAAGGAGAACGATAAATTTGAGGGGGTAGGCGAGATATAGGGGATGCAGGGAGGGAGGGACGATGCTAAAGCTCTGTTCTCGCTCCTCTTCAATGCATTTTTCCAATCTCCGAACTCCATTATATAGACCATCTCTTGCGCTAGTGAGTCGATGAACGCATTTTCGCGTGTCTCTCTTATACTTGAAAAAGAAAGAGAGAGAGAGAGAGAGAGAGAGAGAGAGAGGAAGGAAGGGATCCCATCAATCCAGCTTTCTCTTTCTCTCCCTCTCTCTTTCTCTCTCCTGAGTATTACCAAACAAACGAAAACTATGAAATCGAACGAGCTGATTATTCTTTTTCCTCTCTTCCTCTCATTCTCTATTTCTCTCTCTCACTTTCGACTTTTTTTTTACGACAAGAGATTGTTTGCGGCGTCGCGCGCGCTCTCTCGCATTTGCACTGATTGATTGGCTCGTTCTTTCTTGGTGAAGTTTGCAAATACGAGGGAGTATGAGGTTTTTCTTTATGATACGAAAAAAAGAGAGATAGCAAACGAAACGAGTGGAGCATGGAATATTTAATTCTAACTTTAGGCTTTTTAGTATTCTTCCGTTATGATGAATTGTTGGTAGTTTCGCGCACGTAAGGAAAAAAAATTAATAATACGAGCACTAAAAATTTTGTAAATATATTCTGAGCACCATATTGACATTGGATAAACTAACTATTTACTAATCCATCTGCACATCCAAATATTGCAGTACGCTGCGCACGCACTAAAATTAACATAACCGATGATACACCCAATAAATATTATGTACAATGTACGTGCACGTAAACATTAATCGAAAACGGAATTTCGTGAACATTAGATCATATCATTAATTCAGTTTTTATATTGAAGGCTTATCACTGAATCGGGTTATACCCGACACTAATCTTCTGCATTCGATCACTTCATTTGCATGAAAGGTGCGCGCCCGCGTTGTGCCATCCCCTCTCTCTCTCTCTCTCTCTCTCTCTCTCTCTCTCTCTCTCTCTCTCTCTGCGTCAACGCTTCATGCATCTCTTACTCTCGAAGGATAATTAAAGTCGTAGTTACTGCGCTCACCTTCGCACCGCTACATATTCAGTGCTTCTCTGTGTATAGTTAAAGATTTCAATTGACTTGATTGTCTAACCCTAATAAAAATGCAAACCACAAAATCTCTTGGCCTGCTTGGAAAATAAAATTTATACCAAGCGGCTCTTAGAATAGCGCAGAAACAGCAGTCTATGAGTCTAAAAAAGAAGCTCTTATGCAAAGAGAAACGCAAAGAAAATCTCTTAAGTTTAATGAACTAATCTGATCAAACCTTCTCCCTCTTGCGCGCACCTTTTGTGGTTCTTTTTTGCTATATATGCTCTGTGTGTATTCAGTGCTTCTGTTTCGATGAGAAAGTTGTATGTAAATGTTTTTAATCGAATTCTCTATCCTGTGTTGAATATAAAATGAAATCAGTTAGAAAATGTTACGATTATACGCGATTACTTATGCATCTACATTCTTGCTATAATTGAAGATCCTGTCTCTAAATCAGCACAAATGAGTTTAATAAACGAAGGGCGAATTAATTGTAAAAATCCTGGCTTTTCGACGACTGGCTGAACAAAATTTTTTTTATTATTATTCATGCTATGAGTAGGAGGAGAACATAATTATGGTCGTTTGAGGCTTCGGTACAATTAATTCTTGGACTTGCTCCTTCTGCAAGAGAGAGAGAGAGAGAGAGAGAGAGAGAGAGAGAGAGAGAGAGACAGGGAGCAAGGGAAAATGAACCAATGTGCATAGCGTTAAGCGAACGGACTCTCGGTACTTCTAATTAGCATATTCTTTGTATAGCTTGCCTCTTTTGCCCTCTTATGGCTTAAGAACATACAAAAGAATCAATCCTCTTAAATAATGGACCACTTGGAATAATTAACATGGCAGATCATTTTTCAAATTTTAAAACGAGTCAATTACTATAGCATCAAAAGCTTTGTGTTTTAAAATTCATTCGTCTAGCCAATTCATCAAATTCATCATTTTACTATGTAAAAAAAGACGAGAAAACAATATCCATGCGTGTATTAAAAAAAAAAAAAAAAAAACAGGTGAAAAATCGCATCGTCCACCGTCGCCGGAAAACTGCACCATAATCGAGGAGAGCTTGACCACTGTTCGTGTGAGCTGCGTCGAGAGCGACTACGTCGACACCAAGAGCGCCATGTACGTGCTGCAGGTCTTTGACGCCGAGACCCGGCGACTTTTGGCCTCGGCCACTAGCATGACCCCCAACGTCCTCGAGGTCACAGATTTACCAGCCGAGCGCGGTAATGCCGGACTGACGCTCTATCTGCGACTGATGACTGCTCACGCGACGAGCGACGCCACGGTTTTGCGCAGCCAGCAACCGCTGACTGATGGCAATAATCCTGAACATCAGATATTTCCAGGTAGAGAAGCTAGCTGCATGACGATCATCAAAGCTGCATCGATTTTCTGTTATACTTTCTGTTACTCTTGGTGTTATTTTTTTCATTTTATTGGGTTGATATAAGTATATATAGCATTCATTCATTAGCGTGTAAAAAAAGAGCATTCAATTTTGAATTTTAAAAGTCATATTGTACGCACAAAAAAATTTGAATGCAATCATCGAAACTACAAAGTCAGCGAATACTTTGTATGTGACGATGCTTTCAATTAATAAAGGTGAAAAACATTGCAGTGGTGAATGTTTTGATGTAATTCATTTCGTCTACCTCGAATAGGTAGAGTGGAAGAGTTTTAGACGCGTTATAGCTGTTTGATGATATCTTCGTTTAATATACCTTTTCATAGGCCTGTCTCATTCATTTCCACCTCGAACTTCTCTATCAATGAAACGATCCTTTGATGGGTTATTTATAATGAGTGTTGAAAGACAGAGTATAGTTGCTTTTGCTTTTAAATATGATTTAATAACTTTATTTTATAATGCTTTGTAAATAGTGTATGCTTTTCCTACTATGATTTTGTAGAAACTACTTATCTAAATTAATTGATGCAAACAGGTAATCAGTGCAAAACATTGTAATTAGTCTATTTGTCGATAGCTTTATCTCCGGTCATCTTGTCACTGTCGGGGCCTCTTCTCGGTGTTATTGTCGGCGCTGCAGCGGGTCTCGTTATTGTCATTTTCATGATCATTTTGGCGGTTAAGCTGAGATATCGACATCGGCCTTCGGACGACAAGGACTCGCAACACGACGACGGCGGCATGGCCACGCTTACTGCGCCCAACGACAAGACCGCCTCGCTGCCGCTAAACAGCGACAGCAACGATAGTTTCGAGAAGGATCCTGATATTATACCTCACGCTACAGGTACATCATTTCTATGAGTTATATTTTTAAAACAATAAAAACTTGGTGGAAAAAAAATTATTCCACCATGTAGAGCTATAAAATGCAAAGTTCACGTAAAAAGCCTTTTGAACTGTGGTGTAAAAAATAGGAGGGACAAAAAATAAACATGCGCGCTTGGTTGTAAATTTTACTGAGAGGAACACTCCTCTTCTGTTCGTTACAGACAATTCATACGCGGAACTGTGCAAAGGTCCAGGACCACGATACGTACTTCCACATCAACAAACGTCATCTCGCCTCAACCCTATTGGTATCATGAACAATGTAAGTTTATATAAATAAATTTTTATAATTTTAGGTTTTCTAATTTTTTATATTAATTTTCTTTATAAGGCAGGTATAGGCCAAATAATCAGTTATTTTTGGTACAAAATAATTATCAATGATGCTACTTAAGTTATTCTGTGATCTCGTAATATTGTATGCAAAATTTCAAATAGGTCAATTAGCTTATTCAATTTGAGAATATATTAATATCGTTCGTTTATTCCAATAAACTGGACATTCGTGACGATACAATTATATTCCATTTTTCTAATAACTTTACAAAAAATCTAATTCAAGGAAGCTGTAGCGAAAATGAAAAAAACTTTAGATCGAAGTGAAATTTTCACCAATGATAGTTCATGAAATTACAAGATTTTTGGTAAAAAAAATTTGGGGTTTCCATACAAGTTTGGGAATTAATGAAATTCAAAGTTTTGGCCATTTAACATTGAATCAAATGGGAAATGGCAGTTTGTAGTGTACTGCGAGCTCAAATCTCTTTAGTCACAAAAGTATGGAAACCTCCTGAAAGCAGGTTAAATATGCGGAGAAAAAAATCAAAAGCCCCTTATCCGACGTATTTTTTCACGTGGAATTCAACGATGACCTTGGATTTGACCTTGAACATAACCTTAAAGCTACAGCGACCCAACAATCGATTATTCAAATGGAAACCTCCATTTTTTATTTCAGATTTGAAAAGAACGGAAAAATTTTATGTTGAAATATCTATTTTGTTTTTTAATTCAGGGTCATTTCAAAGGCTCTACCGACTCAAATGAAACTCCCATTTAACCTAAAATTATGTAAGGGCTTTTTTTCTAACTGTAGCGCCCCAAAAATGATATCGGAAAAAAACATGAAGGCCTATTTGAACGTAAAATTTTTCGCTCTTTTTAATAGTGACCTTAAATTTGACCTTGAAAATAACCTATACGCTACGGTGAACCAAAAATCGATTATTCGCACGGTGACCCCTATTTTTTATAATAGATTTGAAAAGAGCGAAAAATTTCACGTTCGACTATGTATGTTCTAGGGCTGTGCGAGTACTCGAAAAAAGTCGACTCGTCGAATTCAAGTTTTTTCCTCGAGTTCGAGTCGAGTAATCGATTTTTTTAGTACTCGAGTCTTTTCGGGTACTCGCATTTTTTTCGAGTACTCGAGTTTTTTCGGGTACTCGAATTTTTTCGAGTAATCGATTTTTTCGAGTGTTTGCAATATATTTAAGTTTTAAGTAAATAAATGATAAATTAAAAGTCTCTAGACCACCTCTCTTTGTGTGTACATGTTTATAAGTGTGATAATTGCATCGGATTGAATTGGAAAAAGAAAATAATTTAATAGCACCACCCTTCATCACACTTATAAGTACTCACAGAAGGAAGGGTCTAGAAACTTTTAATTCATCATTTATTTACTTAAAACTTAAATATATTGCGAGTACTCAAACAACTCGAGTACTCGCAAAGCCCCTAGTATTTTCTTTGTTTTTTTAGGTAATTTTGGAGGTGATACAGTAAGAAAAAAAACCCTTACTCGAACTCAATTTTAGGTTAAATGCGTGTTTTATTTGCGTCTGTAACGCCTTTAGAATGACCTTGAAAAAAAAACAACATACATGTTTCAACGTAAAATTTTCCGCTTTTTTCAAATCTACAATAAAAAATGGGGGTATCCATTTAAATAATCGATTTTTAGTCGCACCCTGTATATGGATTTAAAGAAGACGAAATTTCCAAGACATCAATAAAAAATTTCGTGTCATTATGATAAAAAATGTAGCCCAACATGAAAGCATATGAAAATCGACAAAATTTCGATGAAATTTTTTTTTGTGATAATTTTGTTGCCGAGTGTATTCCTAAAATACGCAGAAAAAAATAATATTGTTTTGATTGAAAAAATAATTTTAGGCGATGTAAATAGAAGAGATTTAATCAGTTTTTTTTGGCGGGATTTTTTTTTGTAATCTTGGCAAAGAAGATTTTTAATTTGACAGAGAAATTTTCAAATTTTAACAGAAAATAATTTGAGAATATTCTCCTCATATTTTGACTTTTTTCCCGCCAAAATTCCAAAAAATTTTCCCGCCAAACTTTGAAAATTTTTTTCCCGCCAAATTTTGAAATTTTTTCCCGCCAAAATTCAAAAAAAAAATTTTCCCGCCAAATTNTTTTTCCGTGGTGAAATTTGCAGAGCAGGCTCCGCAGATGCCTTCGGTTTTTGAGCAGAAGAGAGTGCCTTTTGCATGCTCCCTCACCCTTATTTCCTTTCCGTATCCGGATAGCATTCCTAAACATGCATTCCCGAACGCTATCTCGGTTTCTTCGGGTATTGCTGTCCAATCTATGCTTGGTATTCTACCACGCATCGCTGATAGGAAGAACCTGACTACCGAGGTCGGCCGTGTTTCGGTCGCCGGTTCGGGCTCCGGCATTTCCTACCCGTCCGGGCACTTGCACTTAAAGGCGACCGGTGCCCGGTTTTCCGGTTCGCTCGCGGTTGTCAGTGGCTGTTGCTCGAGGCGAGCAGGTGACGCGTCGTCCTCGTCGCTGGAGTAGATTTCCTCTTTGATGAACAATACTACCTCCCATTACTACCGGCCATTTTCGCGTTTTTGCTGTTGTTTTGCTGGTGGCGGTTCGAAGTTGACTGGCGCGCACAATCAAAGCGCTGGGTTCGTGCCGCAGTAAGGTTGTGTCACGATCCTATGCTGCGCGACTTGGCGTTGATGGCGTGCGGCATGCCAGTGGCGGAGTTAGAGTATTAAAGTGAATCGCTTGCAATACACGCATAAAGAGGCGAGGATTATAGGGGGCGTTTGATGGGATCAAAGAGTATGTGGTGATTTAATGGCATTGAATAATTGCATCAGGGCATGTTATTAATTATAAATATAAGTATTAAATAATTAAAATTATTTAATAGCATAAGGGCGTCTTATAAATTAAATATAAGGCTATTAAAGGAGCATGAGTATTAAAATGGCATAATGGGTATTAAAATTATATGGAGGGCGTCTTATAAATATGAAAAAGGGTGTTGAAGGAGCAAAATTGCATTGCATCATATAAATGAAATAAATATCTTAAATAGTATTATAAAATTTTTTTTTTGAGGATATGGCAATCAGGCGGCCCCTTCAGAAGGTTAGCCTATAGGCCCCACAACTGCCTCGCATTCGCCCAGGTCACGGGACCTGAGGGGCAAAGAAAACCTTGTACCAGTGTACGGTGTACCAGTGGATTCGCACTAGAGGTACACCTATAGGAAAAACCCGCCCCAAGACAGCGGAGCCTGTAGGTACTGTTCCCGCCGAGTACCTTTTCGGAAAAGTCCGAAACTGTACCCACCAGGAATCGAACCTACGACCCCTTGAGCGGTGATGTTTCCGAGACTAGCACGCTAGCCACTGACCCATCAACCGCTCGTATTATAAATAGCATAATAAAAAAAAAAATGAAATACATCAGTAGGGCATGGGGGGGGGGGGGGGATTATTAATAATTTTTTTTCAATTTTTTTTGCATCAAAATGATCAAATCAATATTTATTTTTATTGTTTTAATATAAAACAATAAAATCAAAAATAAAACAATAATATTATTTAATATTAATTAAAAAAAATCTGTGATATTTGTTTGGATACATTTTCTCTTTTTTAACATATCTTCTAGCAATGTATCCATTTTTATGCTCGTCTCAACTCCTTCTGCACACCCCGCCTTCAGGAAAAAATGTCTCAGCTTGAGCAAATCATCTTTTTCTTTTAAAATTTCACCGATTACCGTCTTACCAACCCCTTTTTTAAGAGCTCTCTAACCGTGTCAAAATTTTGCTTTCAACTAATAATACGTTATTCTCATTCTCGTTTCGTCTCTAATTTTAAATCTCATCTAATTTGTAGAGGTATACAAATCCCCTCTTCAAGTATTTACGCATTGAATTGATATTGACAATTTCATTAACAATTTATGAGTGTATATCATGAGTGAAAATTTTTGAAATCATCTGTCATAATAAAGAGTAACAATGTCCGTTATGGCTAAAAAATGGGTGTCCGCGTCCGCTATTGAGAATTTCCGCTATTGGGAATAAATGTAACACGATAAAGCATAGTAAAAATTCGGGTCTTTTAAAATCGTCCGCTATTTGGAAGTGTCCGCTATTAAGAGTGTCCGCTATTGGGAGATTTCACTGTATATCTATTATTGGCTTATTTAAGGCAGGCAGGTAGGTTGGAAATAAAAGAACAACAGCGTGTTGCGTGACATGAGCTTTTATTTATTTATTATGTAATACAGTCAAACCCCGTTATCCGCGGGGGTTCGGTTCCGAAAAAGTACCACGTATACCGAAACCGCGGATACCGAAGCCTTGTTCTAATGGGAAAAGGGGGGTTCGGTTCCTCGTCCAGCTGAAATGTCGATGTACGAAAGAGTAAAACACCTTTTTTTTTATGAAAAATCAAAGTATTTATTTATTTTCGAGTAAAATATTTAGTCAAACTTTTTTGCTTCGCTCTGTGCATCAACTCTTTGTATAAACTTTCATAACACTGCAATGGTTTTGTTATATCTTGCTTGAATTGAAGGCTACGAGTCATTATTGGATCATGATTTATGGCTCGTTCAATGAGTTTTTCTGCAACAGCTAAAATTTTACTTATGATTTATCTTGCATTGTTCTGCATGTTTCCCCAAAGATTTTGCACTCTCTCGAGTTTTTTTCTCGTTGTCGCGGATTGTTCTGATCGAAGACTCGTTGACGTTGAATCTTCTTGCGATTGTAGCAACTTTTTCACCAGATGCCAACGCGTCGAGAATTTTGATCTGTTCGACCAAATTAAGAACTTTTCTATCGCGCTTTTTTTCGATTGAAACTGTTTATTTTTGGTGTTAGTCGAGACATAATTAAATAAAAATTAATAAAAAATTTTTAAATTTGACCGCACAAAATTTTAACCTCCAGAAAAAAACCGCGGATACGAAAACAAAAAACCGCGGATACTGAATTTGGGTCACAAATAGGGGTACCGCGGATACGAAGAATCGCGGATAACGAATCCGCGGATAACGGGGTTTACCTGTAATACCTTACGAACTATGGTATACGGCTCTACAGTTACGAAGATGATAAGAATGACAGGCGACTCCGGCGGAAGCTGATATTGGGCGGCCGAGCTCGCGCTGACGAAGTGGACTAGGCCTTGATGCTTGTCCCTGAACTTGCTCGGTGAAACTGCCGATTACCGATAGTAGAGCCGGCGGGTATGTCCACGACTGCTAGTGACTAAGTCCGAGTAGGTTTCCAGAGACGAAGTCCAAGTAGACTTCCAAAGACTAAGTCCAAGTAGGCTTCCAGAGACTAAGTCCCCTTAAGCTCTCAGAGACTAAGTCCTTTTATATAAAACGGGTCGCGAACCGGACAGAGCTTCGCCCTATGAACGACTAGAGAACACTGGTCCACTGCGATGCATTTTCGTCCCGTATTTATACTGTTCTCCGCCGTAGTAAATTAGTACAGCAGGCCCTCCGTATTCGCGGATTCAGTATACGCGAATTCTATATTCGCGGAATTTTCTGTTGATACCTTCACTCCGTATCCGCGGAAACAAAATTCGATATTCGCAGCGTTTACCTGATGTCAAACACATCTTTTTGGTTAACTTTTGTATTTGTTGTTTACATTTTTTAAACGATGGCATTAAATCCTTATAAAGAGTTGCACATAGACATGGTTCGGCAAATAAAACAATCCCGCATTACGGAATATTTTGAAAAATGCCAATAAAATAAATACTTTCAATTATTGAATATTTTTGTTATTCGAAATTTTTATTATTACATGTATTATTATTATTTTTCAATTATTCGCGGATTCCGGATTCTCGGTGTTTTTTAGGAACCTAACTACCGCGAATACGGAGGGCCTGCTGTACAACAATAAATTTAACTTACTCAAAAATCTTGAAAATTACATAAAAACAAGAGAACAGGCATAATTGTATAAATCTTCTGAACGTAATTACAAAGTTTCAAGATAATTGATTGATTATTCATTGAGAAAAATAAGGACAAAATAATTCGGTACTGAATACCGACTGAGTGGGTATTCCTGGCCCTGAAAGGAAGACGACTTTGCTTCGCTCAGCATCAATTATTATTATTTTTTTAGTATAATAAACAATTTTCATTAATGTCAGATAATGTTGGTGAATAAACCCTAATAATAATGATGTTCACTGAACGATATAAGAAAATATTATTTCATATAATTATTATATTTAAAAACTCAATGAAGTTTGAAAACCAAATGAAATTTTACGCAGGCCTCAAAGATGCAGTATGCCGACCTGACACTGAGGATCAATCGCCGCGTACCGCCCAACTGTTATCAGCCTATACCCATGCAGCGACCGCAACTAGTGCCCATGTCGACGTTGCCGCGCAGGCTGCCCTCGTCCATTGGAGAGACGTCGCTTTACGCCCAGGTGCAAGGCAAGTCAATTTACATACCGCCACCTCATCCATACTTAACGACCGTCAGATCAGCCTCAGTTGACGAAACGACCGCTGAGACGCCTCTTATTGGTTGCGACAATAAGGTTTGTTTGTTAGAAGATTTATAACTGCATCGACGATATTTCTTTAAAAGCAAAATAATTTAACTCGATCTTTACTCATTCTTTCGATAGATAACAACAATCACCGAGGCAGCCAAGTCATGGCGCAATGATCCATCCAACGGTACGACGACGTCGACGACAACCACATGACTTACAGAGGATTCCGAGGGTCACATCGTTTCCGAGACACTCAACACTGTTCTCTAAAATAATATGCAAACGAAAAATAAGCATCACTTGGCTGTAAGCATGTAAATTATTATACATATTAACAGATAGATCATATCGTCGCTCCAGCGCAGGAAGGTATCTATTTCCAAGCTGTAGCAAGAAGGATACTTACTCGCGCGCAGAGGCAAAAAGGTATCTAACTCGAGCGCAGCGGCAAAAAGGTATCTAATTCGAGCGAGAAGCAAAAAAGTAGCTTATTCAAACGAAGTGGCAAGAAAGTTTTGACGCGCTGAATTTAGGTTGGCAACGCAGACGTAAATGATAAAATTTTGTTTCAATATTCAATATTCAACATTTAATTCAAACTTATGTAAAGCCGGTAACTTCTACTTTCCTCTCAGAACATACAAAGTTCTCCATAAGTGGCAAATTGAGTCGAAATCGCGGTGAGATTGATTTGTTTGCTCGCATTACAAATGGATGAAAATCATTACACTAGCTCAATCGTTTTTTTCTCTTTTTTGCTCTAATACAAAACAAAATTTTATCATTTACGGCTCCGTTGCCAACCTAAATTCAGCGCGTCAAAACTTTCTTGCCACTTCGTTTGAATAAGCTACTTTTTTGCTTCTCGCTCGAATTAGATACCTTTTTGCCGCTGCGCTCGAGTTAGATACCTTTTTGCCTCTGCGCGCGAGTAAGTATCCTTCTTGCTACGGCTTGGAAATAGATACCTTCCTGCGCTGGGGCGACGATATATAATATAGAGTACTACGAGATATTACTAAATATGATAGTAACGCCGACCTAAACGTCCACTGATGATCATAATGGTGACGATTAGGATAAATCGTCGTTGATGATAATAAAGAGTTCATAATATATGATTGATAATCATGACAGCGACAGAAGATAATAAAGTCAAGTTTTTTTGTAAAAAAAACTTATTCCGTGATAGTCAAGGAGTTGTTTTTGTACAAAGTATTATTGTCTATCGTTCAATACGACGCAATACTGTTTGCATTGCTCGTGTTTATATATAAATAAATAAATAAAAATAAATATATATATGGCTGATTTTCTGAAAAATTAAGCGACCAAAAATGTTTGTTTTTTTTTGCCACGGAAAACTCGTTTTTGATGTCACTCATGTTCCCAAATTTCATTAGAATCTTTAAGACCTTCTATCATTTTCGGGAATGTTCAAATTTTGAGCCTCTGAAAAAAAGTGATAAACAGTCTCAAAGATTCTGATAAAATTTGAGGACACATATGACATCGAAAACAACAAGTTTTCCATACCAGGGAGAAAAGTTTTTTGACACTTAATTATTCACAGAGAATCGGCCATTTATATAATATTATATTAGCTGTCAGAAATGTATATATTACATACATATACGTCGTACCATATAATATGATATAATGTCGTATATATTTTCATTTTCTATATTTTCCTTAAAAATAAAAAGATGAATTTATACGAATTAAATATATATTGAAATGAGAATGTGCGTAAGATATCGTGATTGCGTTAATATTTCTGTAAAACGATCACGTATGAGAGTGTTGTTATTGAAATAATAATAGCATTGTGTATCATATGTTTATAATTGAAAGCAAAAATAATCGCCTATGCTTATCTGATAAATAAAATTATATAGTTGCATGCGTATAATGCATTTCATTCGTGACCGAAATTGGTCTTTTGTAAAATTGTTCATGTATGTGCCTATTACGTTCTAGAAAAATTTACTCATTCAAATTTGGATAACATCGTCGACCTCACCGTAATGATTAATCGCGTACTCCGATTTAACACGTTTGTTTGTACATATTTTTTTACTTTTTTTTTACGAGAATTATAACGGCTTGAAATGAACTTATAATCGAAAAATGTTTTGATTAACTTTTGGACTGTATTTTTCTATCCCTTTTCACAGCATTTTTTCAAAATTCAAAATTCTTATTTGTAAGAAAGGATACCATTGTTCCATGAAGTTTTTTTTTGTAAATTTACACATTACATTTTTGTTAAGTTTTGTGGTGTTTTATGTTATTCAAAATTGCGTTGACGTATTGTAATTTTCGGACAAACCATTTATTTGCTTCATTAATGGTTCCAGTCATTACCTTGACTTGAATGATCAAATCCATGGGTTACTGTACGGTCTGTAAACTATTGTTTCAAAGCGGCTTATTGGTTCAATTAAATCAAAAGTATTAAAATATAAAAAATTCAATATAAAGAGAAGGGAAATTTTTTCGATTTTAAACCCATTTTAAGCCTTTAAGTTATTTCATCAATTCATGTCCTCGAACCTTTTTGTAATTTTTTTTCTTTTTTTTTTTTACTAGTTTTCATAATTGCCTTGTATAATTATTAAACACGGAATAATTTTTTGAAATATCTCTATCATTTTGTTATCAACAGAAAACCTGTAAATCCGTCCGGTCAAGCTATTAAGTTCAGTGAATTACATAAAAATTAAATATTTGACTGATTGTAATCGCTGCTAAAAATTATTTTTTTAACACTGCGTGCGCGACACACGGGTTTTCTAACATTATAAAGCGTCAGAAAACCCTAGTTTTTCGCAAGCAGGGATAAAAAAAAATCGTTTGCAACTAGTCCGCGAAAAAGTTGACTCACCCAGGAGTCTTTGTACCCTCGTTACGCTCGGGTGAAAACAACTCCTGAATGAGTCAACTGCTTTGCGCACTTGTTACAAAATATACTATTTCGTGACACGTAGATCCTTTCTACAAAAATCATTTCTACCGACATTTTTTTCTAAAAATTTTTTATATCTAAACAAACGAAAGTTGAAATCGTACGAATACTTATTTTTGATTTGTATAAAGACTGAAGAGAGGAAAGTAATAAACCCGAAACACGACGAATGACGCACGAAAATGATTGAGATATTGAGAGTCCTGTTGTTTTTTAAACTAAAAATTCATTGTTCTGTACTCATTCAGATATACATAAGTAGACTTAGTTACAATTTTTACAACTTGTAGTGCCATTGTTACCTTGATCTTAATAATTATGAATTATATATAAATTAGCAAAACGAGGAAAGCTAACGTATATGTATTCTCATACTCAGTATGTTAAATGATGTCACCATATTTCATGTACATTAATTTAGTCCTATGCTACTCACAATTCCAAGTAGTATGTAAAATATTTTTTGTATTAATAGTTATAAGTTTGAATATATGATTAAGATTGTGTACTTGATTATAATGTACAAAATACGATACTTATTACTTTATAGTTTGAGAGCTTGTAATAAATACTAAGTACAAAGAAAATCAAAAGTGAGTCGAAAAATTTATAATATGAAGATTTGGCAACAATAAATTTGTTCACGATTAGTTAAAATTAGTTTCTCTCGCTAAAACAAACAATAAATTATTTGAAAATTCTACGTTCATTTAAAAATCATTTCAAGTCTTTGGTAATGGTATTTAAACTTAAAAATCTATCAAATATACATGAAAATATATCTTTTATGTATATTAAAAGACGTTAATAATATCAAGAATAAAATAGTATTATGAAAAAATGTACCATTTCAAAGAAAAAAGAGTGATTGATTTATAAGCAACTTTTTTGAAAAGATGAAATTGTTTATTAGCAATTGAATTGCTTATCTATACTTTTATGGATATTGCTTACCCACAAAAAAAATTCATGAACTAGATTTTTAATATCAATAAAGATTGTAAATCTTAGAGAGTTATAATTCAAAATGAATGATCATATTATATTCTTGTTATAATATCATAAGTATATTTCTGTACTATGAAATTAAAATTGTTTGATAGGTAATCAATCAGCGCTTGTATGATAAAAAAATTTCATTAGACTTTTGTGAATCAAAGAACTTTTCAAAACAAAATAAATAAAATAATGTACCTATAATAGAATAAAAACAATATGAAATTATTTTAGAACTGTTCACTTTTTTCAACAACTTTACTATTTCAGTAAAAAATTTATTTTATTATAAAAATTTGATAAAAAAATACAGATTATCCGATTTGTATGTACAAAGTTTATGTATACGTATATTCTGTTAAGATATGATCTTCACAAGAATAAGTATAAATAAATTAACAATCAATCTACTTTGCTACTTTTAAGTCGATACACGCTTCATCATCTACATCTAAATCTTTAGGAGTTTCTTCTGAGTCAATTTGTTCCCCATCAAAATAAAGTTTGATTTTTGATGCTGCAATTTTCAATTCTTCTGAACATTTTTTAATCAACAAATTGAAAGGTTCATCTGGTTTCAATGTCATTTGTAGAGTTTTTTTATCAAATGTTTGAATTTTGATTTTAATCGAGTCATCAATTGGACCTTGTTTATTTGAATTATTATTTTTATGGTTTCTAACCAACTCCGCACTTAAAATTCCTCCTTCTGTAATAGAAAAGTTGTTCATTTTTCATTCTAAATAATGTAGAAAATGATTATAACAATAATAACCTACCAAACATATCCACTATTGACCAATTAATTGACGTAGGGGTATCAAATGGATTAATCGGTTTTTCTTTTCTTGTAATTAAAACTTGATCTTCTGGCACTTTTTCTAAAGTAGCAAAGTGCTTGAATATTTTTTGGAATGTTTCAGTCTATGAAAAAAGATTTTTTGGTTACATTTTATTCATATTAATTTTAATTCTTATATTATGATGTAAAATTTACCATAAAAAGACTGAATCTCACAACATCTCCAGATCTCCATACGATTCTAATAGTTGCTTCGTAATCATCTTTAGTCTCATTTTCAGATGCGGGTGGAGATCCAATAAGCACATAACTATCATTAGTTATATTCAAAGAATCATCAACAATAGAATTATTGGCTTGTTCTTTTGGTTCATTAGAATCATCATCACTGCTGAGATCAACACTGTCAGTTATTTCAGCAGAAGCTTCTACTGCTTGTTTTGGAATCTGTACATAAAAAATTCATTGAATTCGCAAAATTAATTTTCAATTTCTCAAAGTTAGTGTACTTACAGCGCCATTGATTCTATTAGAATTTCTTGTAGATCTAGAAGTTTGACGGGGATTTTTCTTTTCATTTGTATTCAAACTATTGTGAGCTGCGGCAGATTTTTTGGTTGTCTTTGCTTTTTTTGGTTGCTCTTCTACTTCTTCTTCTGAATCATCTGTTATTACTATATTTTTCTCTGCTTGACTTGTATTAGGAGATTTTCTAGGTAAAAATAAAATTTTGTATTAACGCAATTTTTAAAATAGTAACAAAATATCAACAAAACGCACTTTTTTGGTGATGGAGGTTTAAAATCATCATCACTCTCATCAGAACTTTCTTCCCTTATTTTTCTTCTACTTCGGCTATTCAATGCTATCAAATTAAAAAGTAATAAATATTTTTGAAAAATTGTATTTCATTTTGAAAGTATATATTTTGAACTAACCTTTCAATGCAGTTGCAGCACTTGTGTACAGATTATCATCATCTGATGAGCTACCACTATCAGATAAATCCATTTTTTTGATAATTACTATATGAAAAATGAAATATTATTGTTTTAAGGAAATTACTTTTGATTTCTGTTGGTGAAATTATATCAACTTGTCGTATCTAACCTTGAAGGATCTGAATGGAAATTATATTTATCACAGCAATATTATGCTCTGATTTGTGAAAGTAGTTGCTTCGTGCAAATAGGAGGAAGTAAATTATAAATTTAACTTTTGTTATTATGCACTTTAAATTGTCACTTGAATACTCATAAAAACGTCAGTTTCGACTGAAGGATACTTTAGAAGTATATAGTTTTACGGTTGGCGCCGAACTCGAACGAGGCACGAGGCATTAGGTGCCGAGTGCCGACTGCCGTCTTCTTGTCAGTTGTCTTACAAGATGCGCATGCGTGAATAAATTAAAGGCGCGAAAAAAAAGAAGTACGATGTTGGTAACTATAATCTTTTTATCAATAAATTCTTGAAAAGAAATGAAATTGCTGACAAACGAGATTAGTCCCAAAAATAAAATTAATTAATTTCACAAGTATTTATGAAAGTGAATTCTTGGAAAAAAATCGTGAGAAAAAATGTTATTATTGATTTTAACAATCTTTATTTTATTGAGACTAGGAATCTGATTAGTCACTCAGTGAAATTGGCACAGACTTTATTCATAAGCGTATAAAACGGAGATAATTAGATGTTTTTGAATGAATGCAAGTTGATAATAGACGAGCTTCGTTGTAACAATCATTTCAATAATTCGAAAAACTCATTTTTTTCTTTACGTTTCAGCTTGACTTATAATGTTTGCTTTATACAATACACATATAAGATGATGATAATCATATCTAAATTCAAAAGAATTTATCACTTCTTGCATCGGTTATTTCTTCAAAGTATCAAAATGACTGCTGACGTATTTTTTTATTATTTCATCTTTTTTCTTTAAATATAGAAGGAAAAACGAATAGAGAACGGATGCTCCATTTTCGTTGTGACAAACATACACACATTAGATAAATTGGATTTCACTTACAAATTTATTTAATTTATTTTGTTTTTTCTGATAATTTCTACAGAAAAAAGTTTGTTCTTTTGTTTTGATCCATCTTCATTGATTACGCTCATCATAATTATACACAATGCAATCGTCAGCGGATACCGCAATGCCATATCATATATACTCATAAAGTGTTCGCGAAGGACTCATATTGTTTATTTGTGTTATCAAGTATAATATATAGTATTTATTCTTTCATGTCTACAATCATTTACATTTAAATTCATACGAAGTAACGATTCCACCTCTTTTATGGAGTCGATATAGGTATATATTTATATATATGCACATTTTTTAATTATTCACATTCACGCAATTATAATGTTTCTTATTTATACATTTTTTATATTACAACAAAATTATACGAATCATTTGAATTGGCTATTCTTTTTTTCACATAACAGTATCGTTTTTCCCTGTGCTACATGAGAATTTCATTCTTTTCCCTCTATGAAAATTATACATTTCATTATTTTTTTTTCGTTACTTCCAATCGAATCTAAATGATGATAGTGCACTTTTACATATATGTTACATGTATATTATAATTATGTGTAAGCAGTTGGAAAACAAAGTATACCTTTCGCTTTTTCTTACTCTCTTATTTTTTGAAAAAATAAGTGCAATTGAAGCATCAATATTTTCAAATCACTATCTTTTGACACAGTTTGTATTATCGTAATTTTGCGCGTTTTGTTATCATTTTTTATGTTCAAGTCCTTTTTAATATATTCATATTTCAACAATGTACATAATTATGAAAACAGCACGCTTTGTTATACATTTTTTTTCTTGTCTCGTTTATATACACATTTATAAATCGCTTTTCTTCGAGAACCAAAAGAATGTCTCCGCGACAGCAGATTATATATATTTGTCATAATATATTTCCATTCAGAAGATGGACTTAAAGACAAAGTACAACAATTAACTACACTGAATCTTAAAAATTTGTGTCTTTTTCATTTTTCTCTTACACTTTCACTCGCACATAATTCTATATAAATTACTTTTTTTACCGAAGCAAATAGAATTAGGGTGCACGTACGTCACCTGTCGCTGTTATTATTATAATTTTTTTTGATCTCATTATTTTTTACAACATTTCGTTCTCTCGCACATTTGGTGATTTATAATAATTACTGCATAATAATTACAAATATAATCGCTTATGAATTACAATGATCAAGTAAATAGTATAATTAATAAAGTTCTCGACGCATACAAACGACATGTGTAGGAAAAAAGGTTCGAGAAAAGAGTTCGATAATAAAATCTGGCCAGAAAAGTTAAATATATATATGTAACAAATCTCGCTCTATCACATACTCTTGCTCTTTCTAGATTTACATATATTAATAATCACTTAAAAAGTATGACAATTATTTTTTAATTATAAATAACATGGTACATACAATGAATTGAACTTTTATACAAAGGAGATAGGAAAAGGGGAAGGAAAGATCGATAATAAAATCTGGCCACAGAGTTTAATTTTTTATTCGTATCGAATCTCACTCTATCACATACACCTGCTCTTCTATGTAAATAGAAGAATTTTTCTTCATTATATTTGACACAGAATTATTATAAACGTATTTTGCACCTAAGCAATTTTAAATTCACATTTTCAACGCTCTCTCTTCATACAAGCAGGATTGTCGCGGTTTAGGGTCTTTTTCATCCATGCTTGCTCACGAATTCATACTTTTTGTGTCTATTATTTATATATTTTTCAAGTTACTTTTTTTGTTTTTTGGAATTATTTACGAGAAAAGATTTTACCCTTTTCACCATCGAACTTTATTTCAGTTGTTAAAATCGCTTTATTTGGCAAAATTTCAATCTTATTATTGTCTTAACAAAATAACTCTGAATAGTCATATGGAATAAGATGAAAAATGAACATTACTTATTTTATGGATGACAAATTTTCAAGAAGTTATCCTTGCAATATTGACTCGTGAGCTGAATGTCGAATGAGTATTTGATAACTTGTGATTATCAACAAAATTGGCGTGTGTGGTTTATATTTTAAGTGTAATGAGGTCTAACCTACTATTTTCTCATAAAAGATCCGGTCACAGTAGTAACTTAGCTAAAATAGACAACCAATGTGTCCTTTTTATATATGTTTTGTTCAATTCCTCGCATAAGATGTGTGTTACTTTTGTACAGCAGTAGGTTATTTATTTCTTTTGGTTCTTATTGATACATTTGTAGGTTTCTTTTGTATTTATAAGCTCAACTATTTTTTTTATTAATATATCCGACAGAATGAAAAAGACCCACTGAAGGGTCTTAACAAATGACATGAAGGTTGGGAAGGATCATTTTGCTTAGTGATCTAAGCATTCATTCAAGCGCACAGTAGGACTATTTATTTATTTGACTGCAATGACGTTTTCATACGATATTATGTAATTCAATGGCTGGCTAAGAACTAAATTATTGATGCACAGTATTTGAATTTTTCCACAATTTACTTTTAACCCTTCAAATAGATATTCATGCAAACATTGTCATGATTAAGATTTACAATAATGATAATACCAAATAAATGGACAACTACCCTCATTCTAAACGAATTTTAGCGTTAGTTTTTTGCATTGAATAATTCAAGCAAATGTTTTATGTACGAATACTTATTCTCGAAAACTTTCGTGCATAATATAGGCAGTGAGAAAACATGGAGTAATGCGTGTAAAGTGCTGACAGTCTAAACAAACTTTTCGTACGTTGGCACACTCTTATATGAATTTTCCATCATCGTAATTTTTTTTTAATACGTTCATATTGAATTGTTCACCCTTTTTTATTACCGTGAATAATGAATAGTTTGAGTACTGAGACTTGGTAAAGTCAATAAATGACTCTTTTCTGAGTGTCATTCTGCTTATGAACTTTTTTTTATTAGCAAAATATCATTTTTGAAGTCACGTAGAAATGATTTGATTTCTTTGCAAAATAAGCATCAATTATTTTGACATTGAATTTATCATTATAATTACATTATAATTATTACAATTATAATCATCATAATTATTATTATTTTTATTATTTTTACGATTACCTATAATATTACTATTATCATTTTAATAATTATTATTTTATATCAACAGCTGCAAATGTCATATTTTAAAATACACAATTTTCGCTTCATGTATAACATTGCCCGTGTCTAACTCTTAGATTTCGCACTGTTATTTATTGTTATACGTTGTAGAGCATATAGATATATGTCGTTATACAATCATTTAAAGTTTAAAAAATGTAACTATTTCAAGAAAAATATTTACTCAAATATAGAGTCTAAATACCATTGTTACCGTTTATTAAAATCACTTGCATCCCATCACTATACAATGTTATATCCATAGTCCATATGATTTTGAATTTTGTCGAATTATACTCAGAGAGTACACACTATTGATGTGAATCGTTATACCAGATCTCATAATTTTTTTATATTTATATATTTTTTTATAGAAGCTGCTAAATTGATTTGTGTATGGTTCTGTTAAAAATTTTTTTCATCTCAGAAAGCGTTTGCTACCCTCTACTTTCATTTACGCTGATTTTTTAGGGTAAGATTATTTTAAATCGATCTTTTTAATATTTATAAACTACATATCTATCATCACGTTATGTCTTTTTTCGTTCTCTCTATCGCCAGTATTTAAATATCATAGTTTGAAGTCAACGATTAGTTACCAGAACACAAGGCACTTGACTTACATATAATTTTTTTGTTCATTTTACGTAATATGCATATACATTCACAAATTAATTTTTATATATTTTCAGAATAGTTCGGTGTTGCATTAGCTTTCAAAAACCGCCAGTGTGACGCTCTTGTGATTTTTTTGATGAAATTCTTTTTCGATTAAAATACTATTTTCTCGCAAAGTTTTAATAAATGCTCTTTTTGTGTTTTAAAGACTTTGAGTATAGAGATGAATACTGGTGGCTCGATTAAAAATAATATGCGTCAGTCATTCGTAATATTCATAGAAGAAAATAGTATGTCATTATTCATCACATATATACTATATATGCAATGCTATAATAATTTATATAATATATATTTTTATATTCACTAATTTATAATATACAACCATTTATAAACGATATTAGGGTAATTTTTTTTATCCATTGATCTGAGTATTAAAACCATTTTTTTCATTTTTCGTAGCAGTTTTTTTAATTTTCAAGTTGTCTGTATTGTGTTCCATGTTTTAATTTAGACTAGTTTTAGTATAATATATAATACTTTTTCATAAAATTTTGTTTCCTTTTTTATTATGTCATAATAATTATTTGATTATAAATTTTTTGATGCACTTGTATATTTTCCTCGCACATACGATTGATTTGGACAATTATTATTTTACAATCAAATTTTTTGCTTTCAAGAGTTATAATAATTTTCAAATCGATATTATAGTAAGAAACAGCAACCCATGTAAATTGCACAATGAAAATTAATTAATAAGTCAGTTCAAAAAAAGAAACGGTCAAAAAATTACCGATCATCATAATTTACTCTTTAATGTGTTTGGATATTATACCTTTTTACACTTATTTTACATTTTACTCACAAACTGCGATGAAAAATTTCTTTGACGCTTTCTTCGAAAGAATTAATTTTTTTTGCGATAGAGAGAAAATGTGTTATATTTATTATTTTCTATTAGACGTAGTTTTTTTCTAATTAATACATAACATCAAGATATTATCTAGTAAATCCAAAGTACTTAAACTACAATTTTCATTTATTATTCTACTGTTTAGTTTCACAGTGCTTTTTAATTTTTTCTCTGTACATGTTTTTCTCTTTGTAAGATACTCTGACAGATTTTACAGCATTTGCACGAACATATATCATGTATTTGTTCATTCATGTATGCATAAGAATTACAATATGTTTTCATATCCACTGGATAATGACCTATAAATGATGTGGTATGAAAGTATTCGTCTTGTGTACGTACGCAATATATATAATATATGTACTAACGTTATATCATATAAACATCCTTTAGACGTAATACTGATTTGCAAAAATCACTTTTTGCTTTATACATTATATGTATATGTATAAGTATGTATATATGACTGAAACTGTTGTTCAGTGTAATTTGTTCAACGACTGGTTTTTATCGTTGAACGTTCTTTTCTTATACATTTCATGTTTTGGCTTTTTATATTTGACATAGCCTTTGTATTTATTCATTTGTTGGATTTTTCATTGTTCGTGGATATTACAATTTGGCTTGTTTAAATCAAAGTCCGTTTGAAAATGAGATGTTTTAAGATTTTTCGATATTCGTTACCTTATCGCACTTGAAATTGACTCGATAGATTTACAGAGTTAATTTACAAAGATAAAAAATGAACACATTTACTGAGATATTCACATGAGAGATGGAAGTATAGCTATTCGAATAAAGAGACTGACACGATTAACTAGCAGCGTATTGATTCAAAACGAGTTAATTCGTTTGTACTGTTATTATTTTAACTCTCAAACTAAATCAGCTAGTATTGTCAGCTATTTTTTCATGAGCATGCATTGAATTATAGTTTGAATTAAATTAGATATAGTTATTTATTGCTTAGTAGTGAAATTATTCTCATAGTCCTTAATATTCCCTCAGTACCGGGCACTTATATAGATAATGATAATAAAAAGTTTAGTAGACGTCTCTAAAACATGCATTACATTCAATTTTTTCACTTTCCCTAAGATGTATGATAGAATTAATGATTGTTTTTAGCTAATAGTATTCGAGAAGATAAAACTACTTTAAGACATCAATACATTATTTTCCAGTAAAAAGTTTAACATCTTATTTCAAAATTTCTAGATTTTAATATACAAATGTGATGGAAGAACGTGTTCAATATTTCAATGCAAAAAACTGGTGAGAGACGTAATTAATTTAGTGTTTCAAAACATAATCAAGCTATCAAAAAAGAATATAATTTTATAATAATAATTTGCAAACAAATTTAATTTTTGTGTTTTTTATAAATTTGATCAAAATTATTTACAAATCAGTTGATTAAACGGTTTCCATTGAAGTTGCTTTGATGAATGCGTCTTCTACTTTCTAGCTAAGTATCCATTAGATCTAAGAAAAGCTCGATTTGATTATCGAAAGGCTACGATATACTTTATCAATAAAGTGAAGCTTTTAATTAGAGAAATATTTCATATATATGTAAATGAGCTGATCGTGTCTATTTAATGGTATGCCCAATCAAAAATTTATCAACCTGATATTGAATAAAAAATTTGGAACGTTGAAAATCTTGAACGAGTACTTGTACGTATATAAATTTAGTTTATATAATAATATATATAATAATAATAGTTAATGATTCATTTTAAGCATTCAATACAGATCGGGAATCATACATTAATTAAAATTTTGTATTATATAATTTCAAGATAATAATTAAAATACATTAATTGTGCTTTTCGTTTGGAGGGATTCTTTTGTACAACCTATATAAATATTTTATTTTTTGTTCTACAACATTGCTTTGTTTAGTAAATACCCTCGCTTAATTTTTTTACAAATATATGCAAAGTTTGATTTTTATTTTTTTCATAATTCTTTGTACAATGCATGCCATCTCCAGCCTATTTGATCATTGTTTTGATACAAATTTTGAACTGAAAAGCACAACATTTAAACCATATGAAGAATTAGGTCCAATCAATGAAGAGTCAATGAAATGTTTACTCTAACACTTGCACTAGTTATTTTTTTCTCATAAATGTTTTCAAGCGTAATTTTCTAAAGTACAATGTATTGTCTTTGAATGATATGTTTATTTTCCATTCATTATTTACGTTTTAAAGTAGTTTTTTACTTATAAATAAATAACACCACAAGTAAATTGATTATGAACAAATTAAAAAATTAATAAGGTTTTTAATTTATGGACTCTGGTGGCTGGCGGCATGTGTGTACAATTTTCATCACATTTTAATCCGAATATTTTCGTCGTTATTTTTTTCAACATTTCCTTAATTCAAAGGCAATTTATGACGAGGATTTCGCATTGACGCGTATGAAAAATGTCAGGCATCCGTTTGAGGATTATCTGATATGGTATTTTAATTTATTTAGCGAAAGGCTTCTCGTATTTACGTTTTTCAAGGTTCGTAGAGTTTATGTTTCATGACATGTTTAACAATGAATAAACAATTTGAATCGCACGTTTTCTGTTTCACTCTTTACTAATAAATATATAATCTCTATATCGTTAAGGTATTCACATATGTTCATAATTTTTTTTCTCCACCTTGTATTTTGGACCGGATATTTGATTTTTGATAAATCATGTCACTAGTTAATTCATAGAAAAAAATTTCATGCATTGAACAAAAGTTTTTGAAAAATTTTTGTGGGATATGTCAATGAAAATGTAAATAAATTTAGAAAGTTAACAAATCTGTATGGATAGAATCTGACAAAAGAATAAATAAAGAAGCTAGAGACAAGAAATAAAATGCAAAGTTATGTAATAACACGATTAATAAATTGAAGGTATGAAGGACTAGACTTTTTTGACGATCGACAGGATGGTCTGTAAATTATGAATTTAAATCACAGCTTGACTACGTCGATTTTTTTAAATCAACATACACGGCTTTTGATTTCCGAGAATCATCAATCAATTGTATAAATTTCTAATTTTTTAATACGTTAAATTTAATTAAGTAAAAATTAACAATGTGCAATTAAGTAATATAAAAAACAAAAATACCTATCGGAAGGTAGTTAACAAGAATCATTCAACAGGATTAAAAATAAAAATATAATTGCAACAACGTAAAAAGGTACGTATTCAAAAATAACTATAATGGCCGCGAGTCAGGCAAGTAAAACATTGCAACTGCACACTGTGATTAACAAAAAAATATATTAATATTAAGTTATTAATAAAAACAACTGGCATTGAATGAACAAACAGTTAACTTACAGACTACATTATGAATTCATAAGCTTTTGGTCAAGTATTATGTACATATATCCGTGTAGGAAATTTTCAGTCACTAGGTCCGTTATAGAGATTTTAAGTCGAGTAAGATCGATAGTAAAAGTAAGACTTTGTTGCTAAGCGACAAAAAGATGATCGATGTAGAAGAAATTAGAGTTAAATCTAAATAGTTTAATAGGCGAAGTGCTAGAAAGACGCAACAGGTAACAGTGATATCTTTACGTGGCACCATGTTTTCGAGATTTCTATACTCTCTCATATTTTTTAAAGGACGTTTTCGTTTTTGTTTTTTTTTTCATAAAACTTGGTAACTTTTATTGTTCCGAATCTCGCGATTTTAACTACTTTTCTTAGGTCGTGCGTTCAACAGTTGGTTGTTATTGGCTTTTAGGCCGTCTCAGTCCTAACTTCAGCGATTTTAAGTTATCATTATGTTTTGATTAAATTTTATTTTTGACGTTTTATTCGATTCTAGCTTTTTAGGCTCTAACGTAACTTATACATATATCAGGCCTATAACGTTTTAAAACTTAAAACATTAGTAAATATCGTATAAATTGTTCTAATTGTTCAAAAATAATTTGAATACAATTTTCATTCCTTTAGCTATATGTATATCTCTCATTGGATTTACATCTTACTTCGCATATGCGTAAACCTATCCTACGTAAATATTTTATGATACACTAATCAAGTGTAAAATTAGCATTTAGGAAAATCTTAAAAAAGTTTTAACTCTTTGGATATATCATCGATTTGATGAACATAAACAACCCTTGAGGTCATCTAAAATTAAGTTATGCCTTAATAAATGTACACGATTGTACATTATATCGCTCATAATTTTTCGTAATGTACTTTTAAGTAAAAAATATGAAAATCCATCAGATAGCCACAGTAAAATTGAAAGAGATTTTCAATCTTGAAACCTTTTCAAAGACATAATTCAATTTGCATAAGAAGGCTTTCGATGTTCGATTCAAGTATCTTGGGTGCGCTGAGTAGCTGCGAATTTCATTTTACGGCGGGTGAAGACGAGGTGGATTGTGCCAAATTTGATTCGAGTTACAGCCACCGACACCCATCATCGCTAGTGGTCGATGATGCTGCTGATGTTGATGCTGTTGCATATGCCCGTTCATGCTAATATGATGTTGATGCTGTTGATGATAATCTTGGGCGTGTATCGTCATATGGCTTTGAGTTGGTATACAGCTCATGCTTTGATGCGACTGAGTTGTTTGCAGGTGATGTGAGTTATGCATCATCTGCTGCTGCTGATGCTGTAGATGATTTTTTTGTTGTAGTTGTTGCTGCTGTTGTTGTTGTTGCAATTGTTGTTGCTGCTGTTGTTGTTGTTGCAATTGTTGTTGCTGTTGTTGATGAAGTTGCTGCTGCTTTCTAGATTCCTGCGCCATTGAATCGGGCGTGGGTATGGGACGGTGCGATTTCATGTGAGCACTTCTGCTTTTCACTTTGTTGAATACTCTGAAGATGAGAATATTATTGGTAAAAATACTACAAAACAATTTTATTTTTATTATAAAACAAAGTCAAAATCGGAACTTGTACTTCACAATAATTTTAATTTTCATAAATGGACAAGATCCGATTTTGACAAGATCAATTGGATTTTAATGAGTTTGCTTGAGTAATATTGATTTCACAAAGATTTACTGTTCATTACAGTTAAAAATGCTGTTATATTTAATTAAAACAGAAGCAAACACATTGATTTCAGTTTAAAAAATATTCAACAAAAAATTATTAACATGCAAATTTACACAATATTAACCACAAGTGACGAGTACTATCTGATGACAAAATTATTTTACACGGAAAATAATAGTTTTCAAAAAATATTTATATGTTTATGAAATAATGATTGCAGTATTGACATTGAAAATATCATTAATAATATGAGAATGAAGTAAATAATAGAATGTTCAAAACTTAAAAGTATGGCAGGTTACATTAAAAGCATTGTTATGTTCAAAGCGTAATAGCAAAGCATGAGCAACAAGCAGATTTTCTAGCAGCATTGTCTATTTTCAAGCAAATATAAGCAGCAAAATGGATTTGTGAGAATGTATGTTAGTAATGTTATAATCATGTGTATTGAATGAAATATGCACTGATAAATGAACGAAAAAAGACGTGACCCGTTTTACAGACGTAAAATGCTCTGCATCGGTGTTCCGTAATAATGATAAATAAATATAATGTGTGTGACGTGAAACCAAAATTAAATATTTTCTCTATTTCTCGTATCTTTGATCGTCACTTTTTCCTCATGATAGAAACATGTCGATGTAAAAATCGACTGCTTCTTAACTAATCAATTGATTTTTTTGTTCACTAAATGAGACGAATTTCAGATGAGAGATTTAGAGACTTACTTCCCGCAAATCTTGCAGGGGTAGTGGAGTAGGGCAGTAGTTGTACTAGTCGTAGTATTAGTAGGCGTAGGTAGTTGTTGCTCTGTACGAGTGTAAGTTTGTAAATTGGTGTGGTGGTCGATCGTTGGATAGCTGGCGGTACAAGGCAGTGCAGCAGCCTCAGCCATGCGATGACCGCTACTCCCACTGGTAGCAGTCATGGCTGCTTTTACGTTTCCGCTAAAGCTCTGGATAACAACAAACAGAAAACACAAAGCCAAAATAAACAACAAAACACTCCGGTTAGTGACAAACCTCCGCCTCGAGGTCCTCTCTCCTTGCCTGATTCTGTTCCTTCTCTATAGTTTTATAATTAATGAATGCAAAATATAAGCGAAAAAAATTAACTTAAAATGCGAAGCTTGTTTTAGATTGTTTTAGCAAAGCAGAATCAAATGTAAAGCTGAATACATATGATTTCATAATCATTAAACATGCAACATTTAATGGTTGGATTTTATGCAAGCTCAATGTCAAAATATTGTCAGTAGTTTATAAGGTATTTTTCATTTTTTTGTTTCTTTAGGAAAAGTGATAATAATATCATGGGTTTTAGTTTAAAAACTAGTAACATGAATGTAAATAATTCTAAAATGGTATTCCTTAAACTCACATCTTGACATTCGTAAGCGAACAGTCGCAATTCTCCGTCGCTAGTTGTCAGAGTTGTCGAATTTTCTTTTTCATTTGTTGTTTGCATCTAAAATCAAATAGCAATGCCTTGTTAATATTAATAACTATTTTTTAAAATTAATTGTTTTTATTCATATAAAACAAAACCGACGATGTACGTATGCTTAACTAACCAAAGTACGCTGAAGAATGGATTTGCCCTCGCTAAAATCAAAGTCTGCGACCGAAGCGATTGCCTCACGCAATTCCTTCGTGTCTTTGCTGTCGTTGCACATCTCATTCTTTGCCCGTGATTTCGAGTGTCGCAGTCTTACCCTCCTGTACTCTTCAGGGCAGAAACGCTTCCACAAGTAGTAAAATTGAACGCATTGACGCATCGTTTTTGTACCAACGCTGCGCGCTATCGTTGGAAAGTCTTTATTGTACTTCAACAGACTCTGATAAAATGCGTCCATCTCGCGAGATGTCCAACGATCGGACTCGTGATACTCGCAATTACGCAAAGGATGATTCGGCGCCAGAGCCGGTGTCGGTCGCATCAGTTTTAGCATTGCCTCCTGTTTGATGTGATTTGTCATTAAAAATTTTTACTTTTTACAGTAATTTCAAACCCGATCAAATATTTTTTTACGCTTACCCTGATATTACCCCTACACATGTGCAGAAGATGAAGCGCGTATTCTTTGTTTCGTCCGCCACCGGGAACAGCGGCGCAACAAGCGAATTGTAAATACATCTCCACTGAATAATAAAAGAAAAGTAAGATTTCATTCTCTTTGACATAGTGATTAAAATGTTACCTTCAGTTTCAGTAAGAGCACTATCTATACCGGGGTCCCAGAGCAGATGATCTGGCTCGGGTTCCGCGCAAACGAGCTTTCCGTCCGGCCTCGTTTCCAGCAGTGGCGTTATGGTCGCTTGATAATCCGCACCTATGTTTATTCTCGGAGGTGGGCCATCGTTAGCGTCGAGCGCTGCATCGGCCTCGCGAGGTTGCAGGCGCGCGTACAATCCCGGACCAGGCCTTGACGGATCGAGCATCGGTGGCGGTGTGTAACTGCTGTCCCATTGTCGATCGCAGGCTCGTCGGAGTCGCGACGGATAGGACGGACAATCCAATCGAGCTCGCTTTTTGTGTCGCGAACTACCGAATGGTACGTTGCTTGGATTCAGAAAAACGTCCTCGTGACTAGACTCTTCCTTAATTCGATCGATAATTATAGGCTCGCTGGCCTTGTGTTTGAGATGGGGTTTTGGCACTGTCGAATTTGTTTGAATTAAAAATTTCGCTGGATTGATGAGCTGCTGGTGCACTTGATTTTGTTGTTGATACACGTTGTTTTGCAGGTTTATTTGAGTATTAACAACAGCCGTATTTAAGCCGGTATTGTTCTGCTCAAGTTTGGGAGTTGTCATTTTCTGAAAAGTCAAACCTGGATTCAGCGTACTTGCCTGGACGTAAACATTGGCTTTTTGCAATCCGGTCGTTTGAATGAGTTTGAATTCACCGTGATTATCTACCACGATACCAGCTACACTACCGTTACTAAGACCGAAATCGACAAGATTCTGATTGGTAATAAGCTTGTACGATTGAAATTCGAATTTTCGCCGGCCCACGCCGAAGTCTTTGGGACTCGACGATAGCAGTGGGTCCTCGGAATTCGGCATCATTTGATTTTGCAAAGTCGTGTGATGCGGCGAAATCGGAAAGCTCGTGGTGAAGCTGGCCGGACCCGGCGACGACACGGACGAGGCTGGAAGGGACGAGAGCGGCGACGGTGCAGGTGTCCCCGACAGCGGACTGGGCAAAGGTGAATGCGGATTCGGACAGCCCGTGCCATATAGATCGGCTCCGTCGGCAACGTCGCCCTCGTCGGGCAGCACCTCGTTGAGGGCCTCCTCGATGGCAGCAGCCGACGACATGCTCGTGCTGTAGAAAGCCGCCGAGAGAGGCGAGTGGACTGCCTCGGCCTCGTCTTGAGGACTGAGAAGTGGCAAACTTCCACTGAGTAGACCCTCTTGACTGGCCGGCGGAGTTGGATAAGTGAAGCTCGGACTGTCGTGGTGGTTCAGTGGCGATGGCAATGACGGCGACGAGCTGCATGGCATCGTGTGCGCGCTGTCGTTGTAATTAGCACCGTACGTGCTGAACTCTGCCAAGGAGTCGGGCAATGGTGAGTTGACCAGAGCCTGCAGATCTGGATTGACCGTGTGGTTTGAGCTGAAACGCTCCTCAAGATCTTGAAGGGCTTCGCTGGTAGCCTGGTCAGGTAGTAAACCGGACGATTGAAACTGTAAAAGTTCGAAACAATAAGAAACTATTTTATCTTTGCGATTATAATAATATAACCCGTAGGCATATTTAGTAAAAAATAAAGAACAGAAATAATGTACGTTCCCACATACTCTTCTCATTTTTTTGAAATGAAGCAATTTTCCACTATATGATTTCATTCTTGTCAATCAGGATAAAAAGCCGGGAATGAAAAAAACTGTCTAAAGTTACCTGTTGGAATACTTCATCCTGCAGACTGGGACTGAAGTAGCCACCGTCTTCTGGATAACCCATTGTAAATCCTTCCGTAATTGCGGATTGTTGTTGCTGTTGCGGCTGCTGCTGTACATTTGTTTGCTGTTGCACCGAGTTGGTGGTCGTTTGATAAGTCAGCGGTACTCGCTGACCTGGATCGGAGGTAGCTCGTTTCACTGCTACTTTAGTCGTACCCTGCAGAGCAATCGTTTACTTTTCATTTTCGTTCATGATAACAATTTTTTTTTTTTTTTTTTTTTTTCAAAGAATTGCAATCACCTTGAGAATCATGTCAGCCAGTGCTTGAGCCTGGGCTTGCGTCTGAGCTTCTTGAGCTTGTTTGGTCGCCGCCGCGCTATTGTTGCCGGCGCCTGCGACACCACTGTGACCGGCTATCGTCACGTTCGGCTGCCTGAAGTGGTCGCCGTCGGACAGTCTGCGCGTTTTATTATCGGCCAGCGGCGGTGGCGCGGGCACGGCGAAGCTCATCTTGCCGACCAAGTGCTGGCTGAGATCGCTCGAGGTCGTCAGCGACGCCGTCGTCGTGGTCGTCTGACCGCCGGTGAACGTGACCGAATTGAAGCGTTGATGCTGCTGCTGCGCTTGCACGACGGCGGCCGCCGCAGCGCTCGGATCCGTGGCTGAAATTTGATTGAAAATAGCTGATGGCGTTGGGGGAAGAGAAGAGGGAGGGTACAATTTTCCATTATTACAACGTTTTCATTTATAGATTTTCAATTTTTCATGTCACACTTCTTCAAGATAAAAATGCAGTTCCATTAGTGTCAGTAAGAAGCAAAACCAATCGTCGACTTTTTCCGCTCTAATTGTTTCATCCGAAAGGCGTGTCCCTTTGCCATATTCGTCTATCACATGTCTCTATCTATTTATTCATGACTCGAGGAGTTCGAAGTTGTCTCCAAACAATGCCTCGATGTTGCAGCACACACGCACACACACACAAGCGCATGCATACAACTACGCATTCAAGTATGTGTGTGTGTGTATATATATAATAATACACGTTATAGGCGAGTCAAAGGGGTTGCGCGCGTACACAATATCCTGTCACGCAGGTTTCTTTGATGTGCGGGCTCGCCTGCGCGCAGTCCTCGACGTTATAAGCAAAAATCACAGTTATATCAGTCACTGATTGAGGCCTGGTATTGCACAAGCGTTAAGAGTTAGAGAAGCTGTAGATGCGCGCGTGCGCGATCTTGTCGCCTCTCTTTGAGGATTACGAATACACCAATTCGTGTGTATTACGCCGATTGAGTTAGCGATCAACTTTGTGCGATAGCTCAGCCCGATAGCACACACACTAAAAATCTGGCGTAAACTTTACTCTTTTGTGCGACTTTAGAAATATAATACGTTTTTTTCCACCAAATTAGCGGGCATCATTAAGTTTGAGCTATGCAAAGAGAGACCAGGCAGTGCAGGCGAATTAAAGTTGAATTAAAATGCGGAGGAAAACAAAAACGAACTGGCGCATGAAAAGAACTACGGCGCACTATATAACCAAGCGCGCATATGCCATTTTCACGTATACGCGTCCGCGAATACGCGTCTCTAATTCTCTCGCTTTTTTTCCTTCTTTCTCAGCCTCCACGGCTACGCTCGTGCTCTCACATACGCGACAGAGTTCATATTCATTTTTCATTTTAATCATCGTCGCGTACACGCCGCTCTCGAGAGCGACACGAAATATTCAATCAGAGTAATCTCTGCATATACGAGCCGTGCAGCGCGCACGCGACAAATATTTGGGAAACGCCAGCGGGTCGCGCTGTGCTCGCTGCGCACAGCTTGGCTGCAGTGTGTCGCGAAATAAATAAATTGATGCACACACACACGTGCAGTGTCCGAATAAACACGAGCACGCTCGTGAGAAATGATGAAAATTTTGTACACACGGGCATTGTCGCGAGTGCAGTCTTGCGCAACTGGAAAGTATCGTCATTTTTTTCTTTTTTTTTNACTGGAAAGTATCGTCATTTTTTTTTTTTTTTTTTTTTTTTTCATGCGAGTCTCGGCTTCAGTGCGCTCGACCGGACATGGTTTTCATCAAATTCGCTAACGTTTCTGATTTTTCCTGTTTGCAGTAAATATGTATCGCGAGAGAGGGCCACTGATTCGATGCTTTCACGCAGGAGCGGAGAGCGCAAGAGCTAAAAAAACAGGCTCAAAAATCGACACCCACTGCTAATGTGCGAACTAACGACATACAGCGATATCGTTCGTCTAGATTTTTCGTAACGATGTATGAGCATTTTTTGTGAAACATAGATCAACTGTATACGTGATCAACTACATATGCAATTAAAAAAAGACAACGATTAATATGTCGGTATCAAAGACGCATTTAAGACGCATTCGAAAAAGCTCGACTGTAAATTCAGTGGGATACTACCTCAAGCCAAGAGATAGCAATCGTAACTCAGTTTGTTTTGGCAATTCTTTCGCTATCACTCGACTCGTTAGTGGCGTTTCGGGCTAGGAAGCTTAAATTTCGTATCTTTCTCGCGTGCTCCACGTATGTGTGTGTGTGCGCTAAAGCGAAATCTTATGGCCGCGTGAGCGTGTGATCGTAAATATCAGTCCATCGTCTCATAAATTCAAGCCCGGTGAGAAAATAAAAGTTCGTATACGCGAACGTAGGTATACGCGGTTTAATCGGTGATTTACCGCGATCTAGCGAAGGCTAATTATTTTTTGATACCGATACGCAGTACAATTACGCACGCATGGGTAGAAATACAGAAAATAATCTACATCAGCTATAGGCGAATTCGGTTAGCTTATAATGCTATTAAAACATATATACTCATACACACATACACAGATGTATAATAAATATCTACGTGTGCGTGTATGCACATTAAGCATTCGCACAATCGCCGAAACAGCGAATTGCCAACGCTAGTTTCACAACGTTATCTGTCCATACATATGTATGTATACGTGCGCACATACATACATCTATGAGCCAAGCCATTAATTAAGCTCGAAAACAAAGCTCGCAAGCGCACGCTCGAACTAATCAAGCGCGTTAAACGAATCTATTGTGCGTATGTGTGTGTGTGCGCGCGCGCGCGAGGGCTAGAGGGTACGGTCACACAGACGCGAGCACACGAATCCAAATCTCGATTCACCCAGTCTTTTGTACGAGTATATAGATATATACGTGCATACACATACACAGACATTTTACTCTCATTCCACTTTGCAGGTTTATATATATATGGACACGAAATCCATTTCGACCACAAGGCTAGCACCCATTTATAACAGCACTTCGGTTCCGTTTTTACCGCTCGTAATAACTGCACGCGCGTATATAGCACCCCCTTGCTCTAATACAAATCCTTTCAACTTGCTTTTCTATACGGGACGCCATCTCTATATTTAGTCCATTTCTTTTTTTCTCTTCCTCGTTCTATGCCCACGTATTATATACACTACACAGCCTCACCCTTTCCGCAACTTTTATACATACATGTATTTCGTATTTTCAAAGTTGAAAATTTTACCGCAATAACGCGCGTATATGTATGTGGGTTATACCCATATGGGTTATACCTAAGCTGTAGAGATTTTTACAAATTGGCAATCAGACCCTTTCCACCGTTCCGCGGGCTCAAACAACTCCTGCAGCGCGAACAGCAAATTGCTTTCTCAAAGCCGTGGGTAATACGCTCTGTATGTACGTATATAGTGTATATAAAAGTTGCGTACATGTAGTTGTGGGCACGAGTGTGTGTGTGTGAGTTGGTAGAGGTGAGTCTTGCGGTCTTTCGCGCGCTCGCCCACGTATATGAGCGGTCATTAAGCGAATTGAAAAGTATGTAGCCGACTCCCTATCTAATTGCGAGGTGTACCTTTTTTGCTGCACAAGTTCGCTACACCAACGGGGGAGGTTGGAGAAAAAAATTGGAAATACTCGGAATTTAAGTAATGACGTTCGCGACAGAGTTTGACGCTTGACGATGAATAGTTTTTTTTCCAATACTGCACGAGTTCTCCGAGAAAAGGTTAATGCTTTTTTCCCCTCCCTACGTACGAAAGAAAGTTTAAAGGCTAAGAAGTAATTTCACATATTGCACATAGTGTTTGAAAAGTGTCGATACGTTACGTGCCTTGCACGCGCGTTGCACATGAGAATGTATTTTTGAACGGCACGATAATTGATGCGAATTCACGCGCTTGTCACAGGCTTTCCGAATTTATGCAAGATTGATAATTCCATTTGATGCGCCAGCGGTTTCAGCTCAACGCTCATTGCGACTGGCAACATGTAATAATCCAACATTGCGTCGAATGCGAGTGAACTTTCGCTAGATATGTAATACACGTGCATATGATTATAGTTTCTGAAGCATTGAAATCGTCGAATCAAGACTTCAAGATGTACGAATCAGCCGTGCAGTGTTGGAACGTATAATGCACGGTGTATATAATGTACTCGCTCTTACCTGCTTACTGCGCAAAGAACGAAATTGCGCATAAATCGTTAACGATGGTTTTACCCTTTCCCCTTAGCTGAATTTCGTTACACCTCAACCTTTATAACTACCTATACATAAAACGTATACGTATATGCATTTTATACATCGGAATGGGATTTTGCGAGCAGAGTTAAGCTTTGATTTATTGGCCCGACGTGGACAATGCGAGAAATATTCGAACTACGGATAAATTATTACCTCAACCAGGAGCTTTCGCGCGCGCGCTTCTTTTGTTTCCACGCGCGCTATCGTCTCTCGCTTTTTGGCTATTCGTTTGTTGGTTTCCGATACACGCGCACACGCACACATACACCTACTCACAAAAGCGCCACAGCGCATATTTAACGTATACGCAGTAGAGACGAGAAAAAACCTTTCCTCTCTCTCTTTCTGTCTCTCTGTATTCCGTTTCGGTAGGTTGTAACTGAAAAAGATTTAACTTTGCTATTTTAAGCTTTATATACTTGCGAAGCAGAAATATTTTTCACATATAAGAGCCTCTCCCAAAGGAAAATGAATGTGTTACTGATTTAATCTGATCTCTTTTTCGCTGTCAGGAAAAAGATTTGTGAACTGATGTAAAAAACGAAAAACTTGCACAAAGTGACGATTGGTTCATGGAATCGTTAAAGTTTTTTAATACAATTAGAAAATCCACAAACATTTGTTAGGGCACGATAATAATGAATTGATATTTTTTCCTCACCTGATGATCTCTTCTGTATGATCTTCTCCTCGATCAAAGCTCGCACACTCACAGATGCAGTCTGCAGTGGAGGTCCAACAACTTCTTTCTTCTCATTTTTTTTGTTATCAGCGTCCTGCAACAGAAACATATCCATCATTCATTTAAGGAGGCAAGAGATTGAGTATCGATTAAACACACTGGTACACGAGACAAATAATCGTAAAAAGATATTGCAGGAAAAGTTGCAGCAAAGCATCGAACAAGCGACATCGTAATCGCTTGCTAATAGCAGACTCTTGCACCTTTTGATTATACCATCACTGAACTTGACATACGCGAAGAATAAAAAAAATTCAAATGACAACTGGAGCTGATAACTGTAATCATCTGCATATATAGAACGCGAGGAAAAGAGGGCTGGGGGAGTGGGATTATATCTACGTATATTTATAGATAATGAAGGAGTCGTCGCAAAGCTTGAACAAGCGAGAGCCGTGCGCGCATGTGTGCGAATTAAATAAAGGCCTTTGGATTACACGCAAGGTGGCAAATTAATAGGCCGCGGTTGAACACGTGCTGCTGCAGTTTGCCTCCACGTCGACGTCGTCCTCGTCGTCGTTTGACCCAGAAAATACGCGACAGTCGTTTAGAGCTAATCACTGAGCGAGCCGTAAGCGGACAGGGCTTCATCCCCTAATTGAAGTACCATTCGATTATATCCGTTGATGGAATCTTCGACGCTAGCCTAGCCCTCAATGACACTGCTGCTGCCACCGCCGCCGCCGCCACCGTCACTGCGTGCAGTGTGTGTTTATATATAGGAGGAAACGCACGTGAGACATAGATATACTGCGAACGGACGATGCCACGAGCGGCTTGTTTTTGGGCTAAATAATAAATGACCGGCTCGATCAATCTATAGTACGGTAATATATGCATATAAATCAACACGTGAGGCGCCTCGAGTGCGATGTATTGAATTGTCCTCCTCGGCGACGTGCGCGCTATTATATATAGACGAGCGTGTGCACGCCGGACCGAGCGAGAAGCTGCGACTCGGCGTGCCGGAGCGTTGACAGGGGCCGAGTATAGTAGTCCCCGGTGTGTCGTCGTATGTGTATGCGGTATATATACATGTGCGCGCGCGGTGGCGACCAGTTTCTCCGTTCACACGCCAGCTGACAAAGTCGTCGTCGTCGTCGCTGGCCTCGAACCTCGCAATTTCCTCTCGAACACTTTAGACCGTGCATATACATATAATACATAGCATATATATATCTGTACATGTATGTGATACACATACACACACATCACGTCCGAAATTGAACTCTGTCTTTGACGTGTGCACTTCTCTGTCTATGTCGCTCGCTCGCTCGCTCGCTTCCAGCGCATTGCGTGCATATTGATCGACTGCAGTAACCTTCCTCCTCCGAGAGTACTGCGCAGCAGCATCAGCGATCAACGAGACTTCGAGTAGAGCGAGAGAGCAAGAGAAAGGGTCGTTTGCTTTAGTTGAGCTGCAGCACGGGGAGAGAGAGAGAGAGAGAGAGAGAGAGAAGAGGATTTCAAAGCTCCTTTCGCTGACAGAGATTTATGCGTACGTGCTTATATACAGGCGGGGGCAATTATCGGCAAACTCAAGAGCTGCGCGCACCCGCACAACCAAGAGAGGAAGAGAGAGCAGCCATATACATAACGTGTACCGATATGCGATGATTTGATCGCCACTAATGATGCTGCAGATTTTATTTGCTCGGATTTCGCGATCGTTTTAATGGATCGGTACACACGCGCGCACCTATATCGATCAAGTTTGTCTGTATAAGAAAAGCGTGCCGAATTCATTTGGCAGCGGCCACGGCGAAAATAATCGAAGACAAAACGATCGCGAAAGGGCATCGATTTTAATATATTTTTTGCACTTCCCCCATCCCAGCCTAGCGATTTTCTTCTATTTTTCTCAACCCTGCCGTGGCACCCTATCGTTGAGTTAATCGTACTGTTCTCTATACTCGTTAAGACGTCTTTTTAATCAGCGAAATAACAGAAAGAGCAGAAACAGACGAGGTACCTTCATAGACATATATAGAGAGCGAAAGAAGTGAAAGAAAAGCTCGGAGAAAAAAGCGCTGATCTCGGCGGTCTTTCTTTTCCATTGCTGCGCGCAATTTTTCTCTACCTCTCGCTGAATTCGTTGTAACGATTCCTCTGCTGGGCAAAAAGAGGAAGAAAGAGAGAGAGCGAGCGAGAAGCACACCCGAGTACGTAGCAGTAAAAAAAGTAACAAAGAAATGTCGGCGGTTTTCGTAGCGCTGCACCGGCCCCGCTGCGCCCCATGTATATAATATATATCTATACGTATAGTGTTAATTCGAGCGTCCGAGAAGAAAATAGATTTTAATGCTATGATGTATATACATTTGGTGAACGCTCGCGCCTTTATAAGTGAAGGTAGGAAAAAGAAGGAAAAAGAGAGAAAAAAATCGCGTCGGAGCGTAATTGTCGAGCACTTCATAATACACTGTCTGTTTCGAGAGTTACATTTATCATCCGTAGCAAGTCCCATTATTTTAATTGCAAAGCTCCGCTAGCAAATTTCCTCGGAGTAGTCTTCGGCCCCGAGCGCGCTTGCGCGTGCCAGTATACGCACGCAGTCAAGAAAGGAGGGATTAATGACAATTTTCAAAGGCGGCTCTATTAGAGGCTCTTCTTTGAATTACGCTTTACGAGAAACTTGCGAAATTTCTTTCTTCCCGCGCGCTCTCTGCCAGCTCGAGCCCTTATAACCCATTATGCGCGCGCGCGCTGGGTCAATTTTTGAGGACGTGCGCATAATTAGTTTTGAATTAGGCAGATTATTTAAATCGATAGCTTTATGAATTAAGCGGGGAATCGGATCGAAAGCTTGGACTTCTTTTTTTCTTTTAATTTTTTTTTAATTAAATTGATGTGCAATTTAAATTTACTCATAAATACAGAGCTATGAGTGCGCACGAGAGATGGTCGCGAGTGTATAGTCGAGCTACATTCACAAAGCACCCGAAAATATCATCATATTATATAAGCTTTCAGGAATATAGAGTAATTTCGCTCAAGTCCTTCAACTTTCGTATGTATGTATACGTATTTCCTGTAAATAACGCAAGCGCAAGCGAAACTCCAACCCTGTGTACCGAGCACAAAGAGTTAAAAGACAGCCCCATCATCCGTCTACTTTGCTTTGCGCGATGTCATGCATTTATTTATACATATATTACGCGCACACAAGAGCGCGCGGTATATAATGTCTATACTATACGAACCTTTTTGAAATAGCCACCGTGCAATCTCATGTGGCCGTTAAGGGCCGGTATATTTTTGAATTTCCGATGGCACAAATTGCATTCGACCGGCTTGGGCTCGGTCGGGGACTTGCCCGAGGCGGAGACGACCGCGCCAGGGGACGACGAGCTCCCCGGCGAGGGACTTCCGCTGACCCTGCCCGGCGAGTTGGCTGACTGTTGCAACTGCTGATGTTGCTGGAGCTGCACTTGCTGCTGCTGTTGCTGTTGTTGCTGTGCTTGTTGCTGGAGCTGCACTTGCTGCTGCTGCTGTTGTTGTTGCTGCGCTTGTTGCTGAGCTTGCTGTTGCTGCAAGAAGAAAATATAATTTGTTAGATGCTTAATGATTATAAAAAAAATTTTTTTAATTCAAGTTTTCAAGTTTTGTCAAAATATGATGTAACTAGCATAAAAATAAATTATATTTTTGTACTAAACTTCATGGTTGCAAGGAGAATATAAGCGTATTTATTATATGGGTCTCGGAGATAAGTGAGACGAGAGCCTAGTATATAATCAAAAGAAGACTTTCTCTTTGAAGTTAGTAGCTCTTTTTCCTTTTTAACTTCTATCACTAATAAAAGGATGAAACACTCGAAAGTCTGCGCAAGATGTACACTCGTGAATACACATACATACAGAAGGGGAAGAGGAGAGGGTTAAAGAGCGCAGAGCTTGGCAGTCATGTCTGCTACCTAAGAAAAAGATTCACTACTCGTTTTTCCGGAAAAAAAGTAAAACTTTTCTTCTAATTTTTCTCTTTGCGTCATTGCTATGTTTGTACGAACTTAATGAAGCTGAGTATAATATAATTAATTAAGTAAAAGAATAGCCGTTTGAAGTGTCAAACGCTCCGACAAATAATTTGTTACATTAGCCAAAGGACGACAATTTATATTTTAAAATGAAATATTCACCACTGTTGCAAATATACGTGCGGCCGCATTATAACAGAATCAAACCTATACGTGCATGTGATCCTGGGTCATGATCGAACGTCGAGGATACTTATAATTGATCCGTGCAAATCACAGAGAAATGAACAAATATTATTTGAATTTCAAAAAGCCGCGATCGTATCGGTAATCCACGTTTTACGCGCGAGAGAAGGTCGAAAGGAGACTCGAGAATCGAGCCGATTTTCACAGAACCGGTTTTAAATTAAATCCCCCCGGCCCGTTAAGCTCCTCTGCGCATGGACTTACGCGAGCCTGCCGCGAAAGCTTCCATGTCTTTGGCAGGCCAGATTAAGTTTGGCTTTGGCCTTCTATAGTCAATGAGTGTGTGAATTGCAATGGCATGGCGTAGAGAGAGAGAGAGAGAGAGTGGCGAGATGAAGCAAGGCTAAATAGTTATCAGCAAAGTTGTTGGCTGTGTACGTATAATGTATGCACGGTAGGATATATCTGAAATCAGAGCGAATATTTTATTTTCCATTACGCAGTAAAATTACAAACAGCGTAATAGTACCTATTATCGGAAATTGTAATTATTATTCGTCCACGTGCACGTAAATTAATACGAATAAATTCGCGAAACACGCGGGGCTTATACATGTATATAATATTTAATAAAAAACGCATTTCGTACGCATACTGGCTCATGTGTATACAGAAATATTATAACGCGCGTAAGGCAGAGAAGGCGGAGCCACGTATACAAACGCAGCAACGTGCAGTGGCATACATATATGCAGAAGCGATTTTCCACCTATTCGCTTGCACGAGTCTTTGGAATTTCATAAATATCCTCCCTCTTTCTCTTTCATTCAATGCGCTCGCATATGCGAATCATATATATACTTGTACAGATTCGAAGCTGCGATGCTTTGTGAATTCTGCGAGCTTTACCTTGTCCTTTCTACAGTGCGTGCGGATATTCACCCGTGCTCGTGTACGTATGCACGAGCAAGTATATACACGGGGGTAGTTGAATAAGCGTACACATTTCGAGATTACTCGAGAGCAACACTACAGCTGCCTACGTATCTGCGTGTGCCTCGGCAGAAGCCACTTGCTCGGCCTATCTGTGTAAGCGCGCAATTTTTTCTACTACCCCCTCCCTCTCGCAGATACGTACTAGTCCAAAGGTATATTGTGCGTCCGCCTATGCATATGTATGTGTGCGCGTGTACGTATTCATCATATTCTCGGCACATATATGGCACACGCACGTGCGCTACATATGAAAAGCAAAAGAGAAAAGTGCCGCGCACTGTACGCGGAGCAATAGAAGTGTGCGCAATCAAAGTTTCCTATCTAATGTGTATTGCCGCTTGCGAGCCTCGTTCGTTTATGAATTTTTTTTCTCTCGCCAACTATATGCGAGTGAGATACATCGATATTCGCGCACGAGTGTACTGCTCTACTACTACTGCCGCGTTGCGATACAATACCCACCACGACCAAGTTTCAATTAAAACTTGAAAATGTACATATCTATAGACAACTGCGCGCTGCGCGCAAATTGTTATAAGACGATATGTATAAGCCCTGGCGCGTTGAATTACGCCGTTTCTGAAATCGAGTTGGATTAGCCAAGTGTTAAGAAGGGACTAGAGAGAATCTTATACTCGTGCAGTTCACGAGCAAACTCGTGCAGCTGTATAACTATGTGCCGTCTTACATGCGTTAGCAAATGTGCGAGTGTGCGTGCTTGCTGCGTGTATGTGTGTAACTGTGTGTGTATTTGCATGTGCACAAGTGTCTGCGCGAACTCGCACAAGCAACGAGCGAGTGGCTGTGCTGGTAGTAGTGTGTATGATTAAATTAGAACAATGTCAGAGCATAACATGCCAGTTAGCTCTTAGCGCGTTCGCGCATACACAAGACCAAGGGGGGCAAAGGGAGAAAGCGGGAGCGAGCTGAGCCGTGCAAAGGTAGTAATATACACCTCGACTGTACATACGTATATCGTATCTGCGTAACTTGGGACATTTTCAAAAATCCAACGCAACAGCGCATGAAACAAACAAATGTGCTCAAGTTCTGCAGAGAAATTCAAGTGGTCAGAGAGCAAAATATGTGCGACGCGTGTGTGTGTGTGCGTCGAGTCCTGCCTTTTTCTCGTTAAAAGTCGCGCGCTCTCTCGTATACGCAATCGATGTTCGCTAGAGCAGCGGGAGCAGCAACTATACGTGAGTACCAGCAAACGAAGCTATTTTTACTGGCGTTCGCATACACATACACACACGTACGAATACTCTGCACGCTACACGTACGTACATACATTCACTAATCAAGTTTGCTACGAGGTATGTCTTGGCCACCCTTTGTTACATTAGTTCTGCAGCGCGTAGTTTAGCGTTGCGACGTCGTTCCACGTTGCTGATTCCCTAAGCGTGTATACTACATATTATACAGGTCGAGCTGCAGAAACTCGTATTACACGCGTACCATGCAAATGAAAACTCGTCTCTCTCTCTCTCTCTCTCTCTCTCTCTCTCTCTCATTCTGTGTATCATTAGAAGCGTATATAAAAGTATACGCGCGCGACCCTCGCCTTGTTATAAAATCCAGCGTTTATTATTGTCATTTTTAACGAGTAAAATCGTAGACTCGCTTCTATGGATTATGCACGAGCGAGAGATCACGCGCTATATATAATATAAGCGAGCATCGAAGATAATGGAGTTGCGTTCGCTCGCTCGCCAACTACAAGGTGCGCTACACGTCCGCATAAGGAAGGGATAATTCCTCAAGGGGGTGGTTGGCTGGCTGGCTGGCTGACTGGCGTAGTCGGCAGCAGCAGCGGCGGCGGCGACGGCGGCAATGACTACGTCGGTAATTGCGAATAATTGTATTGTCTTCCAGGTCGAATTGTGTCCTCGCTCTCTCTCTCTCGTTCGGGACGAACTACTACTACGCGTGGTCGCGCGCATACAACTCGCTGACAAAGACGACGTCGTCGACTGTATGACAGCAGCGTCATCGTCGTCGTCGACGACGGATCTATATATAGCGACGGCTAAACAGTAATACGCCGTACATTATTATCCTTCCGTATGAGTCTGAGACTCTAATGTGTATTCACTCACTCACTCGCCCACGCGAATAGATCATTTTACGGAGATGCTAGAGTAACAGACTGGATACTTCAGGGGAAGATTCAACCACGATTAGAACAAAGTAACTCTTTTTAATTTGTGCTGCCTTAATTCAACTTTTTTTTAACTTTATAGTGAAGAGTTTGAATAATGTTAAAAAAATATTGACAGTTTTGTAATTTTATTCATCTGGGAGTATTATATGCACGATGCCGTTATGTTTGTCAATTTTATTTGCCAAACCCGTGTTTCTCACAAATATATTGGTATTAATAAATATGAAAACGTTATGAGGTCAAAGAAGCTGCAGCACTGCACCCTCAGAATTGCGCCGTTGTAACAAGCTTCTCGCTCGCACTCGAACGAATTTTTCTCTCTCGCACACACGCACACTTTTTCCCTCTGTACCTCGTTTTTTGCTACAGCATTCTCTCGAATTTTTTTCTCTGCGTTGCCTCGTATGACGTTGTTTGGCGTGTGCGGCTCTTAGACACTTGTTGACGTTGCGCAAAATCAAGCGAAAAGCTCGTAAAATTCGGAAAAATATAATACGCTTATACGCATATATATGAGTGCGTATTATAACCGTACAGGCTGGATGGATGACGAGCACGGGGAGGAACAACGGTTATTTCACCCGTGAGCTCGGAGCGCGCACAGTGCTGCTATAAAAGTGAATTTTTATAATATGCAAAATTATGTTTCACAGAGAGTAAATTGGGGCTCGCTCTGACCATTTTTTTAGCTCATATTCTCTGTTGCGTCGTAATGTGCATGCACGTGTCCGACATTTTTTTGTTTTACGGATGTATGAAACCAAATTTTTCGGGTGTTACTCGATTTAATACACAGTAAAATTTTAAAAAATTTTAATTTATAATGGAAATAGAGTAGATGCGCATTTTGTTTATATGATATTATCATTATTATTATTATTATTGTTATTATTGTTATTATTATTATTATTATTATTATTATTGTTATTAATGTTATCATTTTCCACTTGAACGTACCATTCAAGAGTAGCAGTAACAGCAACAGCCTCTGTGCTCAAGCACGAAGATACTACGCTGCGCGAGGAAGGAAAAAATCCCGCAAATATTACATCAGTTAATGCACACAGCTTCTGCCTGGTGAGTAATAACATCGCGTACCCGAGTAAAGGAAGGGTGAGAGATGCCTATAAAAGCATCGTGCATAGGAAGGATGTATATAGAGAGATGCAAAGAGTAGAGAGAGAAAGAGAGAGAGATACTCTGCTGCT